GGGGGGGGGGGGGGGGGGGGGGGGGGGGGCCCAATTTTAAAAGTCGGGGCTCCTTTCCGAATCGCAAATTGATTGCATCGAAAGTGAGGAGCAGAACACATTTACATCTTAAGTGACTCCTAAGAGTTCTATTTGATCCCCCTGAACGGCAGAAAGTAATCCCCTGAGGAAGGGGGCCTCGCCCCCGCCTAAAATTTCTCAAGATTCCTCAATGGTCGCAAAATTGACGTCGATTCTCCAGAAAAAGACGGTCTGCCATGTAATCGACCCCGAGGAGCTCAGGGAACATGAAATTTAGAGTCCTCGGGGTCGATTACATGGGAGACATTCTTTTTCTGGAGAATCGAAGTCAATTTTGCGACCAAACAGGAATCCTGAGAAATTTTAGGCGGGGGCGAGCATCCCTTCCTCAGGGGATTACTTTCTGCCGTTCAGGGGGGTCAATTAGAACTCTTAGGAGTCACTTAAGATGTAAATGTGTTCTGCTCCTCAATTTGGATGCAATCAATTTGCGATTCGGAAAGGAGCCCCGATTTTTAAAATTTAGCCCCCCCGTTTACCCCCCAAGGGGAGCTGGAGGAGCTTCCGGACCACGAAATTTGGATTTCTTGAGGTCGATTACCTGGGAAATCGTCTTTTTCTGGAGAATATACGTCAATTTTGAGACCAAAGAGAAATTATGGAGGGGGGTACTGTCCCCCTCTTTAGGGGATCATTTTTGGGCCTTGGATGGTCCGATTTTGGATTTTTAGGGGTCAATTCCACGTGAAATTTTCCGTGCTTTTCAATTCTGATGCGATCGATCCGCAATTCGGTCGGGAACCGTGACTTTTAGCATCGAGACTCCCCCTTTACCCCCCAAGGGGGGGTGGGGGGGTTTCGGGACCACAAAATTCGGATTCCTTGGGGTAAATTCCCTGTTCAACCCCGCGGTCTCCGACTTCGTCTGACCTAAACCAACCGAGAAAAAGGCCTGGTACGGGTGGTCTGAAACACCCTGTATGTAAATTTCTGGGAAAATACTCTAGAAACCTAGAGTACAGTCGAACCTCGATAACTCGAAGCTGAAGGGAAGCGATGAAAAATTCGAGTTATTGAGGTTTCGAGATTATCGAGGTTTCGAGTTAACGAGGTTTGGAGATGAAAAATTCGAGTTATCGAGGTTGGAGGTTGGAGGTTGGTGCTAGGTCAATTTAGAAAAAAAAACCGTTATTTGTTTTACGTTATCATAATAAGGGAATATTGGGGAATGAAAGTAGGAACTAATATTTAACCCCACGTCCGATCGGGGTAGGACAATGGTTTATTATTGGAAAAAATATGTACACAAAGATCAAGAATTAAATTTTAAAAAACTGAGTTATTCTGCTGTGCTGCAAGTGTTGCAAACGGTGTCTATCTACCTCATTTTCAAGTGTTACCAAAGCAGAAAAAACATCATCACTAACATTAGGCAGGTGCTCCACAAAATCTTGGAGTGTAGTAAGTATGATAAACTGATTAACCTGCCACCGCTGATTGCCTGCGGCCGCCTTGAGATTATCTGGGCCGAAGCATCCTTCGAGTTATAGAGGTTTTTCTCCAATTCCTTTGAGTTACTGAGGTGCATTATTGACACATGGTAGTTGCCTTCGAGTTATAGAGGTAAACCGCCGATTCCTTCGAGTTACTGAGGTACAAATGAGCCTCAAATGTCTTCGAGTTAACGGAACAAATCTTTCGAGTTATCGAGGATTTTGGCCTTCTGCGGAAGGGAACGGACATTTTCTTCGAGTTATTGAGGTTTTCGAGTTATCGAGGTTCGAGTTATCAAGGTTCGACTGTAATTGCTTGAATATAACGCAAGCAAGGCACAAACTTCTGATATTTACAAATACCTATAGTCTGTTTCACGAAAACTGAGACTTTTTATTTGGCATTAAAATCCGTAAATGGCAACGCATCAGTCTTGGACTCGGGTGACCGTACCGCTCGCCGGACACCCTCTTTTGTTCAGCGACCATAGGCCGGACACCCATCCATCTTAAGGGTCGGAACAATAGGCACCCTTCACCTCTCCTTAATGGGCCCTAGTACCCGGACCAAAATTTTTTTCTCTCTGAAAAATTCATCTTTTGGCGTGAAAATTTAGTTCCAGCGCGAAATTGAGATAAAAACGCACTAAAATTCAGTCCAATTTTCTCAATTTTGAGCTGATGTACGGCATTTCGCAGCAAATCACGGTCACACGCAAATGCCGTATATCAGCTCAAAATTAAGATAACTGGACTGAATTTTAGTGCGTTTTTATCAAAATTTCCCGCTGGAACTAAATTTTCACGCCAAAAGATGAATTTTTCAGCGAGAAAAAAATTTTGGTCCGGGTACTAGGGCCCATTAAGGAGAGGTAAAGGGTGCCTATTGTTCCTACCCTTATAATGGATGAGTTGCCGGCCTATGGTCGCTGAACAAAAGGAGGGTGACTGGCAAGCAGTACGAGCACCCAAGTCCAAGACTGATGCGTTGCCATTTACGGATTTTAATGCCAAATAAAAAGTCTCAGTTTTCGTGAAACAGACTATAACAACAGCCATGAAGATCAGATCATTTGCGTTAAATGAATAATTGGACTACACTTTGCAATCTGGAACTATAGATTCTAGCCTGGTTAAAAAACAACATATGTGCCATTAGTTTCCCTATGCACATACAAGAAAGTGTAAAGGGAAGTGTAGTGGGAAGTGTGTGTGTATTCTAAGTGTTTTTTCAGATGAGCCAGAATTTATAGTTCGAAATTGCAAAAGACAGTCCATTTGCAACCTCACCTGTTAAGTCCAATTTGCACTAATGAATCTAATCTCTATCCTATTTAAATATGTATAACCTTTGCACTAAGTATTTAACATTCTTGTAATTTTAGATTTTAACTATCAATTTTTACCAAAATTTTAAACACTGAAACCCCTAAAGCAATTTTCATCGACAACAGATGTGTTTTCCCATTTTTTTTATAGGTCAGGCTGAAAGGCAGGCAGTGAACTCAACAATCCAAGGGTCTGCAGCTGATGTCGCAAAAGCTGCCATGATCAAAGTTGACACTAAACTGCGGCAGTTCACTCAAGATAAAAATGATGTCACCGCGCATTTGGTGTTGCAAATGCACGATGAATTGATTTATGAGGTTAGCTCAGTCTCAAATCAAATACCTGTTGACAGAAATATTCTTAATCATCATTCGATAGTTGCCTGGTCTAACCGAGAAAGCTACAATATGAAGTTGAACTACGTGCCTGGCACTAATTATTTTTTGGTTTTTATAATTTAGTTTTCACTGATAATTTTGAAGTATGTGTATCCCTCAACAGCTCTTCACGATCAATCAATGTTTGAAAGATTGCTAAAATTTTACCAACAGCCACCCATGTCCATCTGTCAAATATTGATTCAAAGATTTATCATCGGGGGACTAATGACTTCTGCAATTGTTTATCAGTAAACAATACAACTGATTAGGTGGATATTCAAACTATACATGCATGCAACTCTGAGAAACTTTTCTCAACTCAATTGACTTGAGTAGTTTCTTGCAATTTGGACAAAATTTAAATCGTCTTTAAAAAAATTTGTCACGAAAACATGTCAGTGTGAAAAATATTTAAGGTTAATACACCTCTCCTCCCCTTCCTACTCCTCAGACCTTGAGGAACACGTATTACATGGAAACAATTGAATAAGCTGTTTTGGAGACAAAATAATTTATGAACTCAAGAAATGATAATGTAGTAGGTGAGTGCAAGGTAAAAGATAGTGCACAGTTCATGAGTGAAAAAACTTGTAAGTGGTTTATTGAAAATATACCAAACCAAAGCTTTTCGGTGTTTTTGCATCACCGTCAGGACAAAATTCAATGACAGCTTGGCAGTAGTGAAAAAGTAACTGCTTTAACAGAGCACTGACAGCTCTTCAAAAACTGACTCTCCTTAATTATTTGTCGTGTTGTATATGTATGAGAAAGTGGGCTGAGACCTGGAAAGAATTTTGGAACCATTATGTGTTTAAGAGATCCGATTTCCTAAAGATCAAGGCTTGGGTTGAGGCTCTGATTTAGATTTTGGATCTAAGTAATTTTCCCTCCATTTAAAAAAGTTCTGAATGTTACCCTGTTTGGCAATAAGTGGTTGCGAAAATTTCTCAACGTTCCTGCTAAATTAACTTTGCAGTAACCTTCCATACGATTATCGTGGCAAAAAAAATATTTGTAAATAAAATTAGACTACAGTAGAGAAACTAAAATTATTAACCTTACCAAAAATTAAAAATTGAAACTCCGAAAATAATTATGTATATACTAATCATTTAATTAAGAATCCCAAGAAAGGAAGAGCTCTGGCAATCCTCAATCCACAAAGAAATATAAACTAATAATCAACAAATTTTGCGGTGGCTGAATGAGATAAAGTGGTTTTTCAAGACTGCCCAACTTACATTGAACTTCTTCCTCGTCGTGTTTAAAAAATCGAGAAATTCCATCTTTTTCCTACCTCATTTTACACCTTTTCCATTTCACAAGTCATAAAAGCCAATTCATGCAAACATTACCAAGGGTGCTTTGAAAGCAGCTAATTACAAACTGCGAAAAATTGATGGTGATCTCATCCCTGTGAAGTGAAGCTGTAAGCGCATATGGAACCGTTTTTGAGCAAGTTCATAACGTGGTTCTGGCTTCAGTGCTTAGGTTTCAGTTTAGTCGTACCAGTCGCACAGGTATGTTGTTTGGTGCTGTTCTAGTCCGAATGACACTGAGACACTCTGGGTTTCAGGTTTCAGTTCAGATTGCTTAGCTGACCACAGAGACTAATTCAGGGTCTTCAAAATCCCATCTGTAGGTGATTTAATAAAAAAAATGAAAAAATAAATGAATAAATCTGAAAAGGCTTCAAGACGGCCAATTCAAGGAAGAGTATTTTGAGGTTCCTTCTCGTCGGCTTGCACCAAGGTCGACAGTTCAATAAGTAATCAGCTATCATCAATTTTTTTCTTTTGCAGGTCAGTGATCAGTATGTGTTTGAAGCTGCCAAGATAATAGAAGGTGCCATGACGTCAGCTGTTACACTATCCGTTTTGCTACCAGTTAAAATAAGAAGTGGAAGTTCTTGGGGTTCTCTTCAAGCAATTACTACCGCAACAAGCGGTGATAAACTAAATTTCTGCCAATCTGAAATGGACAAGACACTCCTAAAAAGTCCAGAGTACTAAATAAAAAAGCCTAATTTCTTCTACAGATCACATCCATTGCCAGCTTCTGTTTATGGATGAGCAATTGTTTAGACTGTGATCCAGGAGGAAAAGGCCTCAATGTTAAACTTTAGTTAATGTGTTTGATGTTTTTGTTTGTTTTTTGTGAACTTAGTAGAACTTGACTATTTGAACTATTAGGGAATAGCGGGTTGTGGATGAGAAAGTCTTGGAGGGTGGTCAAATAGGTAAGCATTTAAGTTCTTCATTAAGGATGTGAACATTGCACTATGGTGGCATCTATTAAATACCTAACGCTAAATTCCGAATTTCTCAACCTCCCACCCCCATTCGTTACGCTTTTGTAGTGCAGGTCTCTGTCCAAACCCCCTCGGGGGGGGGGAGGGGTCTTCCCTAAACCCTCTTTCCCAGAGCATGGAGAGCCATTACGTAGTTATTGGTGTTTTCTTGAAAAATTTAACTTTTTAGCTTATCTTTCTTGATGATAATTATCAAAATTTCAACGAGTTCAAATCTAAAGAAGAAAAAAATTTACGATGTGCCTCTTCAAAGTTCTATTGGTCAAGATTATTAGGCTGAAACCATTCAAAATAGCTGCATTGAAATGGTTGAATGTTTAAAAATTTGATGTGGATAACTGCGGATTTGAATATTTTGAGTGTGTATTATCACATGTCTGAAAAGCTTGAGTTGAGATACAAAATCATAAATAACATAAGTTCAAATAATCAAGGTTCTACTGTGTAGTCGCTTTTACAAAACTGCACAGTTCGAGATACTTCCTTCTCAAACCTTTTTATTGTCACTTGTGCAATCTAATCAGTGTACCAAGAAATCAAAAAAATGTATAGTACGTTATAGACAGTCTCCCTAAAGATGTTCGTTTAAAACTTGAAGAGCAATAGTTTTTAAGCTGTTTGGCCTATGCTATATTAAGTGTACAACTTTAAATGATTTTTACCATATTACTAAGGAAAAACACTAGGTTTACTAAATTATGACCGCAAATAGTTGGAGACGGAAAATATTTTTCTCACTTTTTAAGTGTACGCAGCAAAGGTTTAAAATGCATGTTAGAAACACAGAAAATAGGAGTTACTATTTGTAAATTTTCAGGAGATTCCACTTTTTTTGGCATTCCCACAGAGCAAGTGACATGCTGTTGAGAACATTTTGTTACGGACAAAGTCAATTGTTAATCAAGATTCACCAAAATTTTTGCTCCCAATGTTTCATTTTGGAGGCCAAAAGAGGTGCAAATATTCATAGTCATAATTACGCTGAAGTTGAACGGCTGTCAAAATTTATCAGTGTTATCAGTTGCTGCGCACACTTTACAGCTGAAAAAGTATTATTATTGTTGAGAGATTAGTAGACAAGGCTTACTAGAGAACCCTGTCTGCATGCACATCTGACAATTCAACTGGCATGGTTTCAGACATACAGTCTACCTTGGCAGAGAATGTGTCAACCCCTATAAACTATCATTCTGTTATCATTTATCCCAACCAATACACTATTGTGCCAAGGAAGATTGCCGTAGGAGCCCTCAGACGTTGCCATATTTCTTCAAGAAAAAACGAATTTACCGGGAAAATTAATAATATCCTTCTTCAAAATTTTTAACTTTTGTAATTCAATCTAAAATATTTGAAAATGTCCCGGAAAAATATGCATAACTTTTTTCAAGTATACGTGTTTTATCTGAAGAGGTTTACCAACTCTTGTATGCTCATACGGCAGGCATTCTTCCACAGCGGGACAAGGCAGTGAATAAAGGGCAGTTACTTTTCTGTCTCAGATACTGTGTCAAGGTAATTTTTTAAGAGTCCCTTACAGTGATTTTTCACTTGAGTAACTTCAATCAAATGCAAGTTTTCTTTTTCAGTTCAACAACGCTTCAATTTTATAAAAATATTACCTCTTTCGCAATTAACTCGAAAATGTCCAGGTATAGGTTACTTACTTACTCACTTCAATATTTAAAGTATTGTAGATGATAAATAGGTACTAACTGCTGAAATTGGAAAAAATTACATTTGCAATGAAATACTGGAAAGAACTACATTCGTACTTCAGGCTTGGTTTCCCTCATCAATATCCCTCTACATTAATTTTTAATGAGGTTAATTTCCTCAAGTTTGTAGCTACAGGAGGGGTCGAAATTTCCCTTGAAAGTTAAAAACATTAGACTAAAAACATCCCCGGTCGCTCTTCAAATTGTGAGTGTGTTCTATAGGGTAGGACAGTATTGTAACTTCAAATTTATGTCCTCCAAGCAAATAGATTTTATTTAAGAAAACTTCCAATTTAAGTCCTCCAAGCAAGTAGATTTTATTTAAGAATTTTCTGAATTGCTGTAAAGAAAAGGAATGTCTCTATTATGATCTCTAAGTGCTATTTTTTTTATGAATATTGTAGAAGTGGTAGTGTTTCTATAAAATTATATTCAATCAAATCAAGAGGTTGAATTGATATTGGAATTAAGTGAAGAGGCTAGTTTAAATGGGCCTCTAGACAAGGGATAATTTGAAGCACAATGCAGCGCTACGTGTTTTCTCTTCAAAATTTCACAAGGAAAAACAAATCACTCTACAGGAAGTTTGAAAATCAACTCCTGAACAAGATATAAATGTTTTCTATTAACATTGGTTAATGGTAAATTACAAAAGCTCTTATTTGTATGATCGAACTTCCTCTTGATTTGTGTTTAAAAGACTTGTTGATATCTCGTTCAGGAGTTGATTTCAAAACTTCTTCTTGTGTGAATTGTTTTCTATGTAAGTTTTGAAAAGAAAAACATGTAACGTCTCCCTTTTCTTTATACCTTGTCTAGTAGTCCATTAATCAGGTAGAGATTAAAATTACATTGTAGCTTGATCTGATATTAAAGCTGTATTTAGTTTACTTACATGAATTAGATCACTTGAATCAAGGTTAACGGAAACTCATCAATTTACATTTTGGGGAACAAAAATTAAATTTCACCTGTCAAAAGTACAAAGTAGAGAACAATTATTTTAAATGTGAGAATAGTTATTAAACTTTGTTGCCAGCATTGATTCTTGCGTAGGAATGAAGCTTCATATTCTTTTAATTGGTTCAAACTTGATGCGACTTGGTGCCAATGGCATGAATATGTGTGGTTCAACCATTTTTAAATCAGTGATTTTGTTAAGGAAAGAATAAGAAAAAATTGAGGAGCACTTTGGAACAAGGGTTTAACTTTGCAGTGCTGCTATGATCGTGCAAATTCGTGTATCATTTGGACCGCGTTTAGCAGAGAGGAACCAAACCACAACAGTTATTGCCAAATTTAAGGGGGCAATTTAATTTTTTAGAAGAGAATGTTAGTGCAGATTCCTTTGAAAATTTTAAACAATTTGCTTCGTGCTGTGCAGAAAATTCAATGAAATTTGCACAAAAATCCGCACAACCGTTTTTATGCAAAAAATTAAATTGCTCAATTTAATTTGGCAAGTAGCTGATGTGGCTTATTTCCTTTCTCCTTAACGCGGTCCATTTGTTGCTTTCCTAAATATTGTGTGCTCATAATTTTAATCGGAAAATAAGAATACATAAGTACAGAAGGTTGAGAGAAAAATCCCAGTTGGGCTTTCAAATCGCAATAGCAGTAATTAATAGCGTTACACTGCTAATATATCCTTGTTTCACAAAACTCCTCAATGGTAAATGTTGTTACTGTCCCAGGTTACTTAAAAACCTTGACAAAAGTGTAGAAACTTGTATTTAGCATGTTCTATTTCGAAGGATTAAGATCCACCATGAAAGAACTAGTCTGTTGTTGGAAGAGAAATCGATACCAGAGGTGATGGTGGCAGCTCGTCTCACCAAGTCGGCTGGAGAGGAGATAACACGGTTGTATTGTAGCCCACCAGCTCATTTTCCACAACTATCGCACACTTTCAAAGATTTTTGCATTTATGAGAGGTCTCTATAACGCCATCTAGTCAACGTTAGAGGAAAGATTGGGATGGTGTGATTACAACCTTGTTCTAGAGCCATTATCTATTCTTTTAAGTGAGGAAATTACTTGGTGATCCTGAAACTCTCTTTCACAAGTTTTAAAATTTTTTAGCATAAATAGGAAAATTGCTATTCAACTGTGAACATTTTTCCCTCTTGAACTGAAATAAAGATTCTCTTTTGTCTAATGAGACTCTGGAACATTGCGTCCAGAAACACTTTCCCTACGTTGACCCCTGTGTGAGGATTGTGGGTATACCAACGCATCCCTGTCATATAAGTAATCCCTAAAATTACCTCGGTTCTCAACAGCTAGACTTGTCCCTGAAGTTGCCTCCTCTTAAGGTAGGTCAGTGGGCGTATCTCCTAGTAAAAATATTCATTATTCTACAGGCGGAGAACAATTCTGTGAGATCGTAGGAGTATGGATCAAGTGCATACATATGTACAATTTCTTCATAGTTAAAAGAAAAATTGGACCAAGTCTTAAAGAATCGCACCAAAGTGCATCAAGGTTGAATTGAGAAAAAGTTACCAGTTCTTTGCCTCCATGAGAGTCAATGATGAAGACTAAGTTCGAAGACTCTATTACGTTCAAAATATTTTTTTGGAAGGTCACAATTTATGACCAGCTAAATTTTAACTCCCTATTTGTTTCGCGTCAAAATTTGGTGCATTTCTGTTAATCTCGGCCAAATTAATGTCTTAAGTGATTGTTTGGGGTGATCTGTAATCAATTCTCATGTGTGCAATCCCATGCACAGAGATCTGTGCATGGGATTGCACATTGCGTCAAGTAATTGCCTCAACACCCAGTAAAAACTTGAAAGGATTGACTGGTAAACCAGAAAAATAGTAAAATGAGAAACCCTGTTGAAATTGTGAATGAATGACTACTCTAGGATAATTATGTGCCTCCTGTCAGTGGCCATTCCTTTATTTTTTTTATGATAGCCTTCAACTTGATTTTCAAGATTACCGCCTTATCTTGCCTTCTTTCAATGACTTGGTTTGGAGACCGTTCCAGGAATTGAATGTTAGGATTTTAAAATTTTAATTCTACTGTTTCATTTTTGAGCAAGCAGCGGGTTGGTTGTTGAAAAGTTATCAAATAACCTGAATCGATAAATTGCTTCGCCAAGACAGGGCTTTATCAATCAAGGTCATTCGACAACAATTTCCCCGGAAGGGGCGAGTGCGAGTAAAAATTTTAATACTGGTGCTTTTGACGCATTTCCTCTTTGTTTCAGTCTCCGAGTTGCATTGCTTTCAATAATACTTAATTGTGAAGCAATTAATTGTGTTACCTTCTTGCTAATTGAATGATACTTAGATGATACAATTTTGTAATTTTTACCGTTCTTTTCAGCTTTCCTGTATCTTCTTCTATTATTTTCCTTTTTTTTTAAAAAAAATGATAATTCCAATTTTATGTTCCTGCATTTTGTATTGGCTCTTCGAGCCTATGTTTTTATAGTCAGAAATGGAGAATTGCATGAGGTATCGGCATCAAAATTTGAATTATGTTATGATGTCTAACAGATTGATTATGTTGTATAAATCTCGTGAAATTTGGTAAATTGATGTCTCCTCGATGAAGGAACGTTTCTCGTTTGCACTGTCAGGGTATTTTTTACTTCTAACCAAAGACATTGAATCACGTAGACCGTGCATCCTGTGTTATGGAAGGCGAGACAACTCTTAGAAATTCGCATGCTGATGAGTGGTGGCACCGACCTGCATCGATGAGTTCGTGTGTCCCAGTTGCCCACTTCTGCACATGCGCACAGTAGGGGCTCCAGTGAATTTTTTTGGATTGTGAGGCTTTTTCTCTCGGTTATCAATTAGCTCGGAAAAATGAAACATCGCTATTCAGTTGTAAAATTATAAGCTCTGAAACTTTTCTCCTCAGAAATTTTGTCTGAAAATGGACTCTAAATGAGATATTTATGAAAACCCAAGCGCAGGAATGATCTCTCCATTGCCACTCTGCAGTCTCTTCGAGTGCTTGGGACACACGTTCTCCCCCTTCCGCGCCCGCCCATCCTAGGGCTCTGGGAGACTTGTCTCGCTTCGCCTGTACTGAACCCAGCCGGACGCACGGTCTACATGATTCGATGTCTTTGCTTCTAACGTTTTAAAGAAGAACCATTCCATGAATTTGCCTAAAAATCACAATAATTTTCTGTCACTCATGTGAAAAAAAGACTATGATTTTTTCAGACTACTTCTTACAACAGTTCTTTTTTTAAAAAATTGAATGTTCATATAAGTTCTCATACAGTGCTGACAGGATGTGTTCCTTTGGGCGAGAGACGACGGTACGGTGTCAGTTTTATTGCCAATTAATTGTTGCTTTGTTCACAAAATCAAATGAACAGCCCCACATGTATGCAAAGGCCGATGGCAAAATGTACACATTGATAAGCAAATTTTCCCACTATAATGATGACGGTATATTTGTACATAGCTCTTTCATATGTTGAAAATTGTTCATGAAATGTTTGGTAATTGTAATCTCTCTCTGTTGTTGATACATTGTTCCTACTTTTGTCGTAACCGTTTTAAGTTCTTATAATTACTTTTTGATAACTTCACTATTTCAAACCTCTGGTCAGTGTTCTGAATTAGAATAAAAAATCAGTAGATGAGTTTGGGGTGCATTTCTTCTGTTTGGTGTTAATGACTCTCTAATCCTATCATGTAATTTCTTGTGACTTGTCCTGGAACCATCATTCCAAACTTCACAAATTAATTTAAGGGAATCGTGAGTTCCTACCTTCATAAGGTAAATCAAGGCCAATCCACACAGGTCAGTAATTGCGCAGCTTTTTTGAAATCCACTCTCCCGCCCAGCCCTAACTCGCAGCATTCAATGCTACGTCACAATGGGTGCTCCCATAAGAAATACATTGCAGGCACTCAATACTACATCACTGCGCAGTGGAGTTCTAAAACTCATCCTCAGGAATGACTGACCTGTGTGGATTGGTCTTGAGGTAAATTTTATTTAAGCTGAGGTACGATGCACTCCTCAGGTTCTACTGAATGGATTTCCCTAAACTCTTCTTTTATTCCTTTGTGATTCTTCTAGCTCCAGAGGAGTGAATTCTTGGGAATTCGAAATCTTCATTATCATTGAAACAAAATATAACCCGAAGGGTCCTTCAGATTGATTTTTATCTCTTCAAAATCAATTGGAGAAAACTCTCTTGCCTGTAGTAGGGAAAAAAAGAGAGGAAAAAATAGAAGTTCTTGAAAATCCATCAAACATATCCTGAGAAAGAAGTATCTAAAGGGCAACAAGCGCTGTTCATGGAATAACTTGTGAAAAGTTATGAATGGACAAAGGAGTGCTAATATCAGGGTGCCGAATTGCTCTCTTGAAACATGTCTCATAACATTGCTCAGCTGGCAGGTAAAATAATGATCAGATTTCAAATGACTTGGTTGAATTACACCTGCGGATACTTAATATGGCATTAAACAATTAACAGGGAATAGTTTCCTCAATTGAAAAAGCAAGGAGTCCAGCTTTTTTGGAATAATTATTACTGTGCAAGTGTTACCATACAGAGTGATATTAAAGGGAGTTTCTCCTGAAGACTTGAGAAAGACAACATTTCAAATAGCTACAGTCAAAATTTTGCTATTTTAGTAAGATGCTTTCAATAAAAATATTCTAAACTTACTAATAGCGAAATTGCCAACATGAGCCCTGAGAGAGAAGTGAGAACTCATGTTTCTAGTAATGAGTAAAGTTAAGGTGATGACCACCCCTTCCCCCTGAAATCCTTTACTTTATCAGTTGTAAATTCAAGTAGCTTCAGTCAAAATTTTGTCATTATAGGGAGGTGCAAGGGAAAGAAAAATTCTGATTCCTCAATGGCTAAAATGGCCGACTCGACACCAGTGAGCTGACTCGGTATTTCTGCTGTAGAATAATCTTCAGGTCATAAGAACCCTTGCCCTACGCATTGCCGCACATTTTTTACATGAAAACAAAATTATTTTTTTTGTTTCCCAAGACTTCCAAAACCTTTTTCAATTTAACTGATGAGAATTCCGTTATGTCCAAATCATAATTTCTCATGGGGCTGTACGAATAGTGAATTTTTCAAACCAAGGGAAGAATTGAAGTCAATTATTCACAACTACGAATAGTAAAGCGAATAATTTAAAATGTCTTTTTTAAGTGTATAAATTCGCAAACATTACTTAAGTCAACAAATAAGTGTGATTAATTCTTCTGGGAATTTTCCATTTGCTTCTACACCTGCACAGTGAACAATGAAATGCTATGATAGCCTAGGCTGTTAAAAATGTGTTAGAAGATCATCCCTGAATGCTGGCTTGACTGTTCGTACAGTTAGGTATGCATTCCCAGGATTTGAAGATAACTGCGCGGGCAGTCAAGCTAGTATCTATGGATCACCCGACACATTTTTCGTATTTTATTTTTATCTGTGTTAATCAAAATGTGTTTTTGTGTTCCCCTCTTTCTGTCTTGGTCAATTGACTTACAATGTGTGGTACTTTTGGGGCAACCGGGATACGTGGGCCTAAGTCGATCACGCGCGCTTTCCATAAACTTGGCAAAGTTGGTAAAGATCAAAAGGGATATGCCAGGGATACGTCTTGGGTGAAAGCCTTGCGCAGATCCTCACAACGTTTCACCATGGCCACTCGAAAATTCGTTACTTCTGACAGCGCGAATAGTTGAAATTGTTGGTTTTAAAATTCACTATACCTGACAGCGCAAATATTCGCAATTAGAGAATAGTGCGAGAGTCAGATGAAGCAAATATTCGTGCAGCCCAAATGTCTCATGATAAGGACTATAGAATACATGTAAGAACTAAGCTTATCTTCGTTGTTCCAAAATAGGAGACGGGATACCATGGAATGGAATACTCACATAATAAAAAAGGAAAATTTATAATTGTAAAAAAACTAAAATATAAAAATACATCTAGGAGAGCAAGTCTTCCAAAACAAGAATCTGTACATGAGAAAAGTGACTCCTGATCACCCTAAATGATCGAAGACCACTAACCGTACAAAATTAAACAATCTGTACAAAATAATTTATATAGTAGAAAAAAATAATTTCATGAGTGAGAAAAACTATGACAAAATCAATCTTCTAGAAATTTTGACAGAAAACAGTAAGAAATTCTTTGAAGAAAAAACTCTACTTCAAGAATAAACTTGAAAATCTAGAACACCTGAGAAAATAAGGAGGATTTGCTAGCCTAACTGACCTGGGAAGTTTGCTCACCAATGACCATGGTTTCTTCACCCTAATATCTGTAGCTGTCCGAGGCAGATCTGTAGAAATTTTAACAGCAGAGCTGAAGATAAAGGCACTAGATCAGGCTTTTATTTCTGGCGGAGATTCCATGATTTGAGGAAGCTGTTCGTTTTGTCTCACAGCTTTAATTTATTTTGCAGCAAATTAATCTTATTCAGTAAGGTCCGGAAAAACGGCTCAGGACCTCTGCGATAGAAAAGATCATACAAACCAGATATCTACTACTAAAAGGCTCTTGCATTTAAGGCACTTTTTTTTCGTCAATTTACACCTTGAAAATTCATTTTACTTACGTTAACATTCATGAACCTTTTGGGATAGATCACATAAGAGGATCAGCCAAAATGTAGCCCAAATTAAACGGGCATCATGATCCAACAAATAATTGGTGGTCATGAGGGTGACCACTGGTTTGGCGCGATTGGTGAATGATTTGGCAGAGGTTAACAGTTAAATGTGAAGGCCAACCTTGCAAATTCATAAGATTTGCCTGGCTTGATCTGTCTGACTTGAATTGGAGTCGTTCTAAAATGGTCTCAGCAAATTTTCGAGCCTTTATATTATCTATTCATTTAAACTGTTAGCAACTAAACATGGGTTTTGGCAAACTGCAGATCAGGTGGCAATAATAAAGAAAGGTCAGTTCACTGTTGACTATCTAGGTAATGTCAAATTTTTAAGTTCTGCAAAATTTATCAAACAAAAGGATCGTCCGAAAATTGAAACAACAAGTATAAAAGCAATATCAAATTTAAAAATTTTACAATGTTGAATTAACAAAAAGAATAGTCTGTAATTTGAAACAAAATATAAACTTAAGCCTAATTGAAATGGAAAAAAATTAAATGATACCAGCGCCTAGGGTATGTAACGAAAGATGTTCTTCAAAATAAATGTTCCCTGATTAGGTACTATCCAAGGTAATTTGAAACAACTCCGAAGTAAGTCTTCCCCAGGCGCATGGGTAATCCAACTTTGCTGTCAAAGAAATGAACATCCTGTAGGTGTGTCTGTCAGTAAAGCTTTGAGTGCATCGTAAATATAAAATCGTGTGTAAGATTTTGCGAATTTTCGAGACTTACATGATAGTATCCAGTTGAGCTTGACAGATAAGTATTGGGAGAAATTCTTTCGGAGGGGGGGGGGGATTAAAAAAATGAAAAGAAATTGTATTCACACATACCATGGTATTAAAACATACCATTACAAAGAGCGAAAGAAGAGAAACTCCGCTATTTCTTACAAGAAGTAAAGCAGATTCTTCATACCATCACTCGGCGCCTGGTGGAGAAGGGTTCCAACTAAGTACGCCAGCTTATGCGCATACTGGCACGGCGCAGGTACTCGAACTGTACCCTGAAAAAGAAGATTGAAAATTGTGTGTGAGAGAGAGGGGTGGGGGAAGTTCGTATTTCACTAATAACCACCTGCAGTTTTGAATCAGCGAAATGAAAAATCAGTGTGCTTTTCATCAGAATGGAGATGATGCATGTGTGAGGAATTTGCGATTTGACTGTGATTCTTATGTAAAAGTTCGTGAGAAACACGATGGTGCCACTGGTTTTCTCTTACATCAACTTCCAAGCTCACAAAAAGTTCTCAAGTTGAGGCCAAAATGGAGGGGATATCCCACACTATCCTGAGAGTTCACCTCAACACGAAGACAAACTCTCCATGCAAAGATAGGGAGCAAATACATTAGCAAGGTTGCTGTGTTTTCAGATTTAAAGTCTCCAAATAAAGTGGCAGCCCTGTCTATGTATTTGCTCCCATTCTTTGCATGGAGAGTTAGTCTTGATGTGGAGATGGACTCTCAGGATAGCGTGGGATATCCCCTCCATTTTGGCCTCAACTGGAGAGCTTTGGAGTTGATTTCAGAGAAAACCAGTGGCACCATCGTGTTTCTCGTTTTTTTTTTTTTTTTATCTAAGAATCAATAGTCAAATCACAAATTCCTTACACATGCAATATCTCAATTAGGGTAGATCTGAAGGTACTCGCACCTCTTTCTAAGAGAAAAGAGGTATCACAACAGGTATCAAACTTCAACAGTAACTTTCAGAGTGTAAGAACTATTTGGACTTGTAATTTGGTGGTGGTCAGCCCGCCAGTCGAATAGATAGTGTGAAGATAGGCGTAACCACCCGATTATTAGAAATTGAATTTTTGATGGAATACTATTCTTTGAGGGTGGACACATCTTGCTACCAAGTGTTTGCAGCAAAATTTCTCTCTTGTGATTGAAGGAAAAAACAACGATGTTTAATTTTTTCATCAATCCCGCAAGCTACTTGTCTGTCATAAGAGGTACTGCTAAAAATAGCAATACTAAGCTGTTTTGTGGAAGAAGAACATATCCACCAAAAGATTGAAAAATTTTAATTCTTGCCAAATTTCTGCAATTCTCTTTGCGTGGTCGTGTTCAGATGGTATATCAAAAGTTGGTTGATTTTGTCGAACAGAAATATGGAGAATCATTGAAGTAAGTTCGGTAGGATTTCTTGAAACCTGACTTCTGGCGGTTACACTCTTCTTCAAGTAAGCCATTCAATTTTACTACATTTCGTTGAGTTGCAGAAGTAATAAATAACAGACTTGGAGATGGATGTCCTTAACTTTTGGGGTATAGCATTCAAGGTCAAGTTAGTAATGGAATAATATTTAGTTAGAACGCAAGCATCAACTCCGTTATGAGAAAAAAACGAAATGTTTTCAGCCCTAGTAAGCAGGGTTCGGAGGCACTTTCTTCTTGACAGTTCCATGCTTGCCTTTAAATACTGTATCTGCACTTACTAGAGACTATCAAAAACCTATCAACTGATAGTCTACAGCGAAATGAGAATTTCTGTCCTTCACTTTGACGGCCTGAAAGCTCAAAGAGGATCCTTCAGGTGCTTTACGGAAGGTTTGAGTTGTGCTTGAGTAAGAATATCATGAAACTTCGATTGCTTCCAAGCTGATGTAGTAGCTACACCATTCCTGCAATGTTTGAGGATTCCAATGCAGTAGAGAAACCTACTGCAAATTCTTAGTTGTCAACAGACTTCAGTTGTAAACCATACATGTTGACTTCAGTTGTAAACCTTACATGTTGACGATTCCTGAGCTACCAGGAATTTCAACTATGGAGAACATCGGGATTCATTAAGTTACGCCGGGGGTGCAGAAAATGCCTGCTCTGACACACAAAAATGAGGAAAGGCCCTACGAATGCAGATGGAGGGGAAAATTTTGAAGGATAAGGAGTCTAAAGCCAAAGAAAGAAACTCCTTTGTGTGAACTTTCTAGTTTTGCATGTGTGAGATGATTAGTAGTCACGAGAGCACCCTCAGTGAGATGATGGGGGGACAGAAGTTATTAGGTGTCCGCAACTTGTGCAACAGCAACTTTGCTGGCAAACTGAATGGAACCAGGAGGCTGTCAGCCATGCATTGCAAGCACTGATTATGAATACAGTAAATAAACAAGCTTACAGCAGTGTGCTGTTAGGCAAATGTTCATTCTGCACTATGAAGCGGAAGAATAATGTAAGAATACTTGAATAATTATAAAGAAACTTACACTCCAATTGTAGTACACATGCGTTAAGGCATACGTCAAACGCTGGAGGTGGTCTGGTGCGAAATCGCACTCATCATGAATGACATTGTATGACGTAGGACTGACAGTTCCTTGTCTCACCGTCTGAGACACAAGGAAAAAATCATATCTGCAACAGACAAAGCAAAAAAATTACTCAGTCGTTAAACTCCAAATCAAGGCTCATCAAAATAATTAGGCAGAAACTTAACAGGGTGGCAAGATTTCGCGGTTTCAACAATTTCTTGGCACCCCCGACGGGGATGACGACGACACAGCATTGCCATACGGTTCCGCTTCGGCTGACTGGGCTCCTTAAGAAATGAAATGAGAACATTTTAGGCCTCCTTCATCCTAAATGAACCTGAGTTTACAGTTTCAACAAATTCTCAGTCTAGCAAGCTGGTTGGCTTTCCAGGTTTTAGTTGTAACATATTGTATTGGTTTATTTCATTTATGGCTTTGAAAGCAAACAAATAAATAAACTTTTATCTCCTAGGCTTAAGGATAATTAGAATTAAAAAATTTGTCAATTTATGCAACGGTATTGAGATATTTCTTGCACTGTTTAAGGAATTTTTGTCCAAAATTTAGTGACAAGGCCTCATTTCAGCACCTCCATGGCGAGAAGGCTCTTTTCTCGATTTGTTTTGTGATCTTGACAATATAAGCTGCAGATCTTCAACTTTTCATTTGGATCTCTTCGTTTTATTGAAATAGATGATTTTGAGATAATTGAGGGCGTAACAAAGTTTCAAAATGCTAAGAATAGACATATCTCACACTTTTTCAAGGCATAGGTCTGAGGTTTTAAAAAATGGGCTGGAGTTGACTTCTCACAGTAATTAAGCAAAAAAATGTTCTTTAAAATCGAAGCCAGGAGGATTACATCATCTGATAAACTGATAAGGAATGACTCGAAGATATTTATCATTTAACATTTTGAGGAAGCCTTTTCTTTGTAAGGTAATTGAACACACACAACTTGCTGTTTTCTTAATACAAGGGCTCATTCTTTGGACTCCAATTTTACTTGAATGACTTCCTACAACACACTAAAGCACATGCTCAAAGCTCATGCAATAGACTCACAAAAATAGTGATCTCTGGCAGTGGAAATGTGAGACTTGGAATACTGAGGTGAGTCAGTGTTGGAGAGCATTAATAACTAGACATTGGCGGCAACTTACTTATGGGGGAACGTGATGACGTCATCAACGACAGTTCCCGGAACTGGGTTTTCACGTTTGGCAGTGAAGATTCTTGTGTTGATTCTCTTTGTGACGACGACGACAACTAGTTTTGGCAGTGGAGACCCACTGTAAACTTCCGGCAGCATATGTTTTACTGCTTTTATCTCTGTATCCTTCACATATGGAATCTGCCCTTCACCGACACCGTCTCGGTAAATGACAATACGCTCCGGCAAACAATTGTTATGTATTTTGTATTCACGCAGAGCGAGGGACAAATTGAAAGCGAAATCTCTTGACAATTCGCTGCCATCTTTGTGCGCTGATACAGCGCTAAAATACCTGGAGAACGAATTGTTCAGGGAGGCTACAAGGGCACCGAAAGATCGCTCTTTCTGGTTGGTATCGTGGTTTACGTCAAAGCCAACGACCATTAAATTCTGAAATGAAAGAGGCAGAGAGTTAGGACATTAATTGAAAGATTGCACATTTATCAGCATTGATAATTGGAAAATTAATAATGTATCTCATCACTGCATTGAGAAACATAAAAAATTCTAAAATGATGGATTTAGTATGAGATTTGATGCAAAAGGAAACAATTTTCAGTATTAAACAAATAGTTGCGCTCACTATTGTGCGTTACAGCGATGGAAGTACCAGTAAACTGAATTTTGATTTTTGGATTAAAGGATTATCGTGGTGGTTTCTCTTCGTTGGAGTGGGCGAATTTCTTGGAAGTATTTTTCGAACTAGTGTTTTAGTATGGATAAACTGATTTTGGCACGGAATTGCAGAGTGTCAACAGACTTAGTAGGAAGCTAATTCTGTAAGTAGTCCACAAATTTTCAGGCTTCATGATGCTCTTACAGCCGTAAATGAACAAACAAGATGGCGGCTCACCGTGACATCGATAAAAAGCTAAAATTTGACAAAAATTTCAATTATACAGCAATAACAATATTAAGTAGCATGTCTACGAATAACACATGAAAACACTGTTGAATCGCCTTTCATCTTAATCACAGGAGGATGTAAGATGTGCATAACCTCAAACTTGCTTGCTGAAAACGGCCATCTAGTTTTTGTTTATTTACGGCCGAAAGAACATCGAGTCAGCCTATTTTCTTGCAATGAAAAACCAGCACAGAAATGGCTATACTCTGTCTATAAAGGTACCCTAGCATACATGAGGCGAAGCTTCACTTATGAGGAAATTTTCAAAACAGATGATTTCCTTTTTTTCTTTTTAATAAACAAATTGCACTTTTGATTTAGTTGGGAATTATTTTTTTTTTTGCTCCATGCTTTGAAAAAGTAGGACAAACCACACAACTAAAAGGGAAATCCGGCATTTTGCTACAAAATCTTATGTTTGGTTGTGAGGCAAAACCGCTGGAACCTGGAAAACGGTTGGAGTTTTCAAACTTTTGGCAACCCTCCATACTCTCTTTTAAGTACAGTGAAACTTCAATAACTCTGTTTGCATCGGGACCGAGGAAATTTACCGAGTTAAGCGGGTTACTAACTTACGCGAACTGCCACTTTTCCGCCGCGCTTTTTCAAATTTCGCGCCCTAAATTGGACAAACGCAAACGTGCGTGTAGAGTGACTTATAGGAGTGTTTTGGAGAGCCATTTGATCGAAGAAAATGGTACTAAATGGTAAAATTTCATGAAATGCACTTGAAATTGCGTGTTGAAAGTGTCAGGGCATCATGAAGTCATCGGGTCAAACTTTGTTGGGGTGCCGCGCAGTGATGCGCCGCGGCCGCCCGCTATGGCGGGTCGTTGCACTGAAAATGCAACGTATCAATACTCGCTAGAATCCTGGAAAGATTCCTGGGGGGAGCGGGGAAGGGCAATGCAAGATGGTGGGGGGAGAGGGGCTGGTGCCGACTGGACCTGTCAACTCATTGATGCGTGAAATTGCTTAATTTTAATTATGCATGCGTGTTTTCACAGGCGCGATAAGATAAACAACACGCGGTATAAGATATCCTATTCTCTACTGTTCTCATCTTTCGTGTTGTTATCAAGTATTTTTGATTCCTTATCTCTCTATTTCCGATGTCGTCTCTCGCACTGCGCTGCGCTCTCTCGGAGATTCGCTCACCCTTCGTGGCGTAACTTGACCCGACCCACACGTTAACACTACCTACGCTTGATCACGGGCATATCACAGGTGACGATCGAAGAAAAACAGGTCGAGATGGAAACATTTCACCAAGTTATGCGGTTTCAGAATCTAACCAAACCGAGCTATCCAGACTTACTTAGCATTGTGTTATATGGGTGATAAATGGGACCGGGCGATTCTACAGACTAAAGCGGGTTACCGGCTTATCCGGGAACCGAGTTATTGAGGTTTCACTGTATAAGGATTCCCAATTGGGAATAGAATTCTCAAAACAATTCCTTGATTTCCTGTAGCCTAATAGCACTGGACAAACTGATGAAAGTTCCCTAATTGCCTTGCAAGATCAAGTTCTAAACCCTATGGTTTTAAAGCATGAAATTACCTTGAGGGGCACTGGTACGGCCCATGGCGCACCGCCCATTTTACAATTCATTTGAATTGCTACTTTCGTTGCGATAGAGAGTGCTCCTTTGTTTTGAGTAGTTTTGTCCAGGATGACCTGGTTGGCCACTAAAGTATAAAAAATAATTAATATTAGCCGTAAAATCTTCTATAAGCTGGAAGGACACAGGATATCTTAAAAATGTCATGACGGCGCTTCAACTAGGAATGCAGTCAGCAAATTGATCAATGCATGTATTCCAAAGAACAGCTTGATGGGTTAAAAATTTGCCATTTAGAAATGAATTAAAATGAGAAAAGGGTATGACTCCTCACCAATTACAAGGAATTTATCCAAAAAACCTTTAGAGACTGCATTCAGAGAATATACTTCACAATATGTAAAGAACCCCGCACAGAGCATGGGGCCAGTGGCTCTCGATGAAAATCGATGAAACTTTAATAGATTGATATGAAGTTCATAATTGAGGGAAAGCCAAAAAATTAGCTCACTTTTGCGAGTAGAAGCCGGGATATTCGCGATTGAACTCGGACTATTTTCAGTGCGGCGGAGGTAAATGGGCGCTCCGCTTTGCCGTCGCCTTACCTTCCTTGAACACTTTGGCGAGGAAACCCCCTCTCCCCACCAGGTAACTATGATGTCGCATTGTTTACACTCAATCCTTTTATTAGGACACTCCATTCAGCCTGTGCGATATGGAGTTCTGTACTTCTCGGCCGGCGGCCTGTTTAATCTGAAATGTAGTTGCCGAAACAGAATTGACAGATGTGAGGAGAGGGAGGGAGTACGGCATTCGCACCGGCCGAGCGCATAAGCACCTATCTTCACGTGAGTGACGTGAGGTCTGATCGAGAACGCCTAACAACGAGAGGAGAGGGGACTCAGAATTCTTCTGCCATGCTGCGGCATGATAGAAAATAGTCCGGATCTAATTGCGAATATCTCGGCTTCTACTCGCAAAAATGAGCTAATTTTTTGGCTTTCCCTTAATTATGAACTTTATATCAATCTATTAAAGTTTCATCGACTTTCATCGAGAGCCGCTGACCCAATGTTCTGTGCGGGGTTCTTTCCTCCTTCATTACATTTTCAAACAGGAAAACTTGGCAAGATGAGGTCCTGAATTATTATTCTAATGATTTTCCTTTGAGTATGAAGACCTCATTCACAGAATTTTCAAGCAGAATGTTGCTAAACCATTAAAACATAAAGAGCATGAAAGGAAAACGGGCAACATCCGCTATAGGTCTGCTTCATCGACAGGAATTCTCTAGCTTTAGAAATAGTGATACTTGACAACTTATAGGTTTGAAGGTTCCGAAATAGGAAAGTTATCAAAATTCTTACCGCTTCTGTCTATGTAACACTTCTTCTTGATTGCCGCATATGTATCGGCTCTGTTGTTGGGTAAGAATGTCATTAGCAATTCGGGTAACCCATCGCCTAGGACTTTATCGATTGCCGATATGTAGTCAGAGATTCTAACACCAGGGATTGGCACGCTGCAAGGCATTTGAGCATAGGAAATGAATGATAAGAATGGATAAGACAATAAATGAAAAGAGCTTCTTGTCACAAAAATGTCCAACAATTCAAAATAAAGGGAGTCTGATACATGGTAATGAAGGTATGAGGATCCAAAAAGCACACTTAACAAGAGAGCAGCAACAGAAAAATGGATATCTTCTCATAAGCCTCGAAGGCGAAGACCTTCAGGTAACCAGACAGGTTTTTGCAACAGATCTCTAGGAAATTACCAACAAGGTGTCTACCGTAACAGGCTGGTCAAAAATTTGTTCCTACACAGTATGTTCTTTTTCAGTACATTCCCAAGAAATTTATTATCTCCTCCACAGGAAAATTAAATGCATTTTCCGTACCTTATTTGACAAAATTTGACAAATTTCAGAAATTTGAATTTCTAGCTCCAATTGCGGCAAAAATGACCAAAAAAAAAAACTTCCATACCTTCTTGCAAAATTTCAGCCCTTTTTCAGTGCTTTCGGGCCTCCCTTAAAAATCAGCACTATTTCTGGACTTGACACTCCGGACACCCCTGACCAAAAATTTAGGAAGCGTCCGTTCCCTTTCCTCCCATTCAGTTTCAGAATCTTACACCCTGGGAATAAGTTACAGTGGGATTGTGAATTAAGCAAACCTTCTTTACTCCATTTTGACGAAAAACCCACGTAATTCAATTGCTGCATCTCGAGAACAAATGAAAAAATTCAGTTTTACAGGGTGAGGGGGTCTTTGACTACTTTTTCCCCCTCCTTCGTATATTAAAAATGTGGGAAGGTTGACTGCAACTGAGGAAAGGTCTTAGAACTTCCTGAAGCCCTGCTAATACCTTCACGGAAATTGATACACTGAGGTGAACGATTCAGGGTCCAATATGAAAGCTCTTCATATTGAGTCACTAAGCAAAGTCCGGAATCGTACTTTTCAATATGAATTTTCAATAAATCTTCACCAATTTGATGTCGAACTGCTCAGTGTTAATTCTGCAGAAAGTTATGGATCAGTTTTATTGATTAATTTGTAGATTATGATAATTACTGCTTTTCAAAGGCACAGCCTGTGTAGCGACAACATAGTAACTGATCTCTGTCTTAGATAATTTAGAATCACCTTAATGACTTACTTTCACATTTGCCTGCCCTCCTCATCATCTTAGCATATAGTTCCGATGAAAGGCAAAATTGAGCAGGTTTAAATAACTGTATCACTTGAATGATAGTCACTTGCAAGGCAAGCTCCTAGCTTAATTTAAATGAAAGATTCAATGTATCTGCTATTAGTGGCTTGCTGGAAATCAGACCGACCATACGCAAGGCAGGAGGCTAATGCTGCTTTGCCTTCCCAGAAACAGGCGGATAAGAGTCTAGCGAGAGCTCAAGCCTGCAATTTTGGAATTAGAAAATCCTGTTAAGAAGGAACACTGGATGAAATTATCTTGATCACTGATTACACCTTGGGATTTCATCTTTACTTTAAGACCAAGATCATGTTTTCAGCATTATTTACTGCAAGAGGACAGCATGTGTTCACTAGCTCGTGAGGTAGCCTGTGTAACCGTAATTCTTTTTCCGCTTCTCGACTTCTCACAAGAACCTAGGTAAATTAATAAATAGGCTTGTGTGTGGTAAATGCAAAAGAAATAGAAAAATGCATCGGTGTACTTACAATCTAGGATGCGCAAAGTGAATCTTCATACCGCTCGCCGCCTTGATGATCATGCCAACAAAACCTTGGGCATTCTGCATATTGCGCTCTGGAACTATCACAACCCAATTTTGTATATCTTTAGAGAAAAACTGCGCATTGGAACGCAATTCCCTCGTCCAGTCAGTATCTCTGCCAACAGGGTAGGTTATGTTATTGCCTGCCTTTATAGTAAATGGAGGTAGGATGCGGCCTTTAAACTGGACGAGATCTGTGTCAAGCGACATGTTCCATTGCTTCAAATCAGCCATGACCTGTAATTATACACATTCGGAGACTGTCATTAGTAGAGTAAGAGAAAAAAAATAGGAGTTCAAGTCAGAGACACTTCAAAAATCGAACTACCTTGTTCCTAGGGAAGTTTTCGCTTAGAGAAAGGTCAATGTCTCCCGGAAGGCGACAGCGGGGACGTCCTGTGAAAGGTTGGCGACAAGGGGTGGAGGAGGAGATCAGAAGGTGCAAATTGCCTGATGATCTCTGAGAGGATAGGGGGCAATGGCGATTGGGCGTCGCAGAGCGCGAGGCGGCGCTATAAAAGCGGCCTTATGTATGTAGAAAGGTCAATGTTGACTTATTTTAATTGAGATGTCAATTCGGAGGGAAGTTGAGCTAGGCAAAACAGGAGAAAATTTGCTACTCTTTTATCATTAAGGTGAGAGGTTGCAACCGACACTAGTGGCCTACCATTAATTACGTTCCTCAAAAAAGGGGAGGAGGTCTAGTGGTAGATCAGGGTGGCAAGTCAAATTCTATTTCAAAATTCCCTAACCTTGGGTAATTATGGCAAACCATCAAAACAAATACACTTTTTTCATGGTTTTCCTGGAAAACAGTATTTGTTTGCTGAATGGTTACAGTGTTTTGAAAAGGTTTTTTTGGTAAGTAATCGCAGTTGAGCATGAAATACAAATCTGGATCCTCTTGGATAGAAAGGAGGCAATCATTTCATCATCACTGCAAATTGGAGTAAAATAAATGAATAAATTCAAAGTTCAAAGCCAACTGAGTCTATTCCTGTGCAGGTTTTATGGCTGAATGATGAAGGAAGAAAAGGCAAATATTAAATTATTCCTCTTGAGTCATTTAAAATTAAGAAGGAATTCAGGAACTCAGGAATCGTGGAAGTAAACTTTGACCTTAGGAATCGTGGAAGTAAACTTTGACCTCAGGAATCATGGAAGTAAACTTAGACCTGAAAAGTAATTAATTTTCTTGAAGAGGGGAAATTGCTTTGCATAGAGTGGGGAGAAAAATAGGACAGCCATATGGTTTCTAATCAGATTGACTGGACAGATGAAAGATGATGCTGATGCAAGATTAGGAAAACAAGATTTAGGTTAGAACTTGTTTCTTGTCCTTTTCACAGGGGCCGCGGGGGGAGGGTAAGGACAACGATGAGGACAGGCGCGCTGAATCCATGCTAACAAGCAGAATCGGGTAGTTACATGGAATTTTTTTCATTCAATTTCTAAAAGTTTCAAGCCTACTGAGAATTGAGGTATTTATTAAAACAAATTTCTGTCACCAGAACTTTGGAAAAAAGCTCTGCACAGTCAAAAGCCATTTGAAATGGGTCTTTTCCTGCGCTTCGGAACTCAGACTTCGTGGCATCACATGCTGTGGACCCAGATCCAATGTTCGTGCGTCATAGCCAATCAGAGCTCGAGTTGGGCTTACTTGGGTAGAGTCCCTTTATACTGAGAGTCAAGCAACCTCCTCTTATGGAGTCACAAACGGGAATAAATATTACACAAATTGAAAGTTTTTCGTAATCTTTGATCAGCCCACTCTCAAATTCCTTTCTCCGTTCCTTCTCTCATTCTGTTTGTTCCTTGTCGAACCCGTAATTCCTTGGTCCATTCCAGATTATAATCTTTGCAATTGGTGAAAATGTAATCTTTATTCCTGTTCGTGACACAGTGGAGGCCTAACATACGGGAACCAATCAGAATAGTATTCACCTTGTCTTAGCTCTCAGTATAAAGGGACTCTACACTTGGCGACAGAGGCGCTGGTGATCAAAAATCACAACAACACTGTAACATAGACTTGTTCTCATCACTTTTCTAATCTCAAATTGTGCTGTGTTTGAGCTTGTGATCGAGGTATGGTTCTGGGCACCTTTCGGCATGATTTTTGACAGTATTTTAAGAGGAAAAAAACTTAAGTAGCACAACAGATCACCCTTCGGCTCGGTAAGCACATGTCGGCATAGGGATAATGGCGGTGGGCGGGGCCTTGTATACCAACTGACGTCACAGCCAATAGAACTCGTTCATTTCTTACCGCGATTTGGCAACTTGAATTAGGCTCTTATGGAGTCTTCGACTTAATTTCGGAACTTGCAATTACGAAAAGAACCCCGCGCAGTCCATATGCGAAACGGCTCTCTCTACAATCCGATGAAACTTGGATATGTTGCTTAGCTAGTCATCCTGATAAAAAGTTCTCATGGGCCGAAAGAGATCCCACAAGCGGTTTTCAAGATATTCGCCGTTTTATGTGCGAAAATTGAGGTTTTACTGGCCGGGCAATCGTGCGGCACTACTCGTGCCTTTTCCTTCCAGTCCACTCCGGCCGCTCTCTGCTTCCCCGCCACCCATACCCAAGGCTCGGACTCCGACGCTCNAAGACCGCCTGGCTTAGCAACAATGAGCAAAGCCTCGGGTATGGGTGGCGGGGAAGCGGAGAGCGACCGGAGTGGACTGGAAGGGAAAGGCACGAGAAGCGCCGCACAATTGCCCAGCCAGCAAAACCTGAATTTTCGCACATAAAACGGCGAATATCTTGAAAACCGCTCGTGGGATCTCTTTCGGCCCAAGAGAACTTATAATCAGGATGACTAGCTGAGCAACATATCCAAGTTTCATCAGATTGTAGAGAGCCATTTCCCATAAGGACTTCCATAAGGTTCTTTCTGCTGGAAACAGTCATCAGATCTAAAATCCTAGCTGCATGCAACTACCCCATTCGACGAAAACGGCCAATCTCCACACTGTCGTGGAATGATCGCAGCGAACACAGTATCACTCATGACGGTATGCAATTGTTCATACGCGAAAATTCCTTGACTTGTGCCACCCTGTGTAGATGACAGTAGGTGACAGGGAGGGAGGGTGTCGAAAAATTGAAAAAGATGGGTGATGTAATTAATGAACGCTCCCTATTAAAACCCTCATTCATGACAGTTCTGCGCATAAAATTCGCAATTACGTTTACAAATGCCACCGATACCTAACATTCAAGATAATACTTGTCAGAATGGAAAAAATGTGAATATAAAGTGTAATCTAAAAGTATAAAAATGGATCTTGTCCGTAAAACAGCCTCCTTTGATTGCAACATTTTAAATTAATATTTCAGACGGTAAAAATATTTCTAAATGAATCAAGTCATATTATCAAGAGAGGCATCAGAACTCTGTCCATTCATTGGGAGAACGCCACTAACTCCTCACTCGATTTTGTGATCACTCTGAATCCCAATTTCGTTTATAGCACTGCTGTCATCAACAGATCCTGATCAGAGGTTATCATAGCGCAAAATTTCCACAAGTCATCATGTTCACACTAACACCAATTTAAGATCCAATCTTTTGCCGAGTAAATGAAGGTGGCATGTCATGGGGTTGCTTGATAAGACCACTGCTGCAAGGATACACTATAGTCTCCAATACCAAATGCTTCCTCCTTTTACGTTTTACCACATACTTTATTTTGCCTTCCTTCTTCTCTTACCTCTCGCTCTTAATACTGTTAATTTGTGTTTCTTTGATAGAAGAGATGCATAAGTGTGTGGCGCCATCGCCACCAACCAATTGGAGGAGAGCTTTTTGTGCTTTCTCGCGCTCCCACACATAAATATGTGCTGTCGCAGGCTTTCACTACCACTCTCTTCCAGGTTCTCACAGACGCTGCGGCTCCCAACAGCTCTGCTCCTCGCACCCCCTCTTCAAGCACTTTGCTCCACATCTTTGAAAACGGCCCTTTTAAGGGGCACAGCATAGCCTTCAAGTATGTGACGAGGCTGTGCTGGGATTATCTGTTCGTAAAATCGGGAGTCAAATGGTTTGCAAGTGCAGTATGAAAGAGGAGCAGTTAGTCTCATTTTATCTTGCACTGGCTTCAATCATAAAGAAAATGATGGAGAATTTAATGAAAACAGTGGCTAATACAAACTATGAAACAATTTTATCTTATGATCCGAGTTGATGNGGGGGGGGGGGGGGGGGGGGGGGGGGGGAGAAAAGAAGAAAGATGGAAAAACGATGTTGAGATAATGAAGAGTGTGGGAAGTCCTATGTAATGTGCCATAGGTATGACAAAATACGATTTGTTTAACAGTTCACAAAAACCAATTACAGAGAAAAAACAAACAAAATAAACTGACTACTTTCATAAGAGACTTCTGAACATTGACAAAAAATTGTAGGAATGTACTCTTGCACTCCAGTATCTCCTGATCCCCTGTGCTTATCAAATTGATGCATTTCGGTCAAAGACAGAAAATCAAGTTTCCTTACCTGAGGCACTTTGCGGAATCTCTCATTCAACTTGAGAAGACGGTTGATTCGCTCACCGGGTCCAACTCTAGTAATATCTGCTACAGCTCGCATGAGCTGAATATTGCTGACCATTTCATCGGTCAGTCCTGTCATCTGGCAGAGCTCAGGTACGAGGTAAACGAATTCTTTTTGTCCCGAGCGGATTTCTTTGGCCTTACTTTTGGATATAAGGAGTGGCTGTCTGAGATCAGTTATTTTAACATTATATTTCTGAAACAAGAAGAGGTTATTAGCATAGAGACTTAACACATTTCATCCACTTATTCTACTCCGCGTCCATTGTTGGGGTGTCAAGGCCATATAGAGGAGAAAACCTCAGCTAGAAAATAGGAAAATGATGACTTCTGGACCTCTTTGGGTTTATGTTTTGTAATAAGGAACTACTATTTTAACCTAACCTATGAAAGCACATACATGTCTGCATAGGAAAAATAATGGACAGTATGCTGTTTCTACATAAAACATGCCAGGTAAGAAATTGTTCAGTAGAGCATAATAGTTCATTTACTCACGAAATAGCCAAATATATGATGCAATGCAGCTATTTCATGGTCCCAAATTATAATGCAATGCACAGATGATTTCCGTAAAACACCGAAGAACTGGTGTTCAAAAGTGATTCATATCAGTTCTTGGTGGAAAGTCACTCTCATCAAATTGACATGAAAAAATGAAACCTTCAACTTTTTTCCCCAGTATGCTTAACTTCTCAAATTTTCTCAATTGCATTATTCTCGATTTTCCCCTAAATTTTTCTTTCATGAAGAGATGTATAACATGTTTAAAATTGGAAGTTCTTCCCCCCCCNTAAATTTTTTCAGCTTGTAGACTTCACCGAAATACGCAAGGCCTTGCCTTAAAGGGTGTCCAAGTCTATTTTCCTACTTTAGAGGGTGTCAACGTTTATTTTCCTACTTTATTCAAAGTCCTTTGGTAAATGAAAGTTTGTTATTCACTACTTTGTAGATTATAGTAGATTCCTTATCTATACATTTCACTAAACAGCAATTTACAGCGCAAGGTTCTGATTACAGATTTTGCTGAGAAGGAGAAAAGAGATGGGAAATTCTAAAACTCAAGTCTGAGTTGGAATAGGAATAATTTAGAGATTATATGACAGGTGAAAAAATAGGACGTCTCAGCTAGCGGTACAAAAAAAGATCTATCTAAAAATTATGCACCATCGACAGTGGCTGATACAGATACGAACCATAAGATATTACTCACGTTTTGATAATAATCAACATATTTCATTTTGCCTCCATCCTTCGTATCAAATTCAGACATGGGGTTTACTTTGAAGTCCACATCATCAACCCGGTAATTTCTGTCATTGTATTTGGTCATGACTGACGTACCAATAATAGTTTTCTTGAACGTGTCTTGGAACTGAACAAACAATAAAATGTGATTGAAACACGGACGTAAAAAATGTACAAGACTTATACTTTTCCAGGCATCTCAAGATGAACCGCCTAAGTGTAAGACGATTTATGAGATAAAGGGGTGCAGGAATTTTTGAACTGCACAAGCAACAGGTAACAAATGTTCGTAGTCTCTGCGGCAAAAAGAAGAACCATCCTTCTTTCGAGCTGTTATAAATGACCTTAGATTTAGAATTAAGATTTCAAGAGGATCTAAAAATAAACGTTGATACATAATAACCTTTTGCAACCCTTTGATGAAATACAGCCAAACCATAATAGGATTTACAAACGTTACACAATTCAAAATGAAAATACCAAAATTAATATTTTGGAAATTGAAGTTGCTGCAGTTTTTAGAAAATGGGATTCCCTGACACATTTTGGTAAAATTTCTGGATAGTTGAAGAAATGCAGGGTCAATGACAAAATCTACTCAGAAACAATTTTCAGGCAAAGTTAGTTTGTCAAAACTCAAAACCCATTCTAGAGGGCAAATAAAGGCAATTTGATAGTTTTATCCAGACACTTTAATCATTTGCCCTAAGTCAATAAAATTCTATCACATTTCCCGGTTTTGAAACTGCTTCCCAGATGAGGGTCAACTTACCAGTAGTGTAAGTTGACCTAAGTAAGTTATTTAAAGTCAGCGTTACACATAGAACGAAATACAAGGTAATCAATGAAGCTCATTATTAACTACAGGCCATTAAGACAAGGTTAAAACTTAAAATAAACTTCACTTACTTACTTCCTCCGCGAATTGTTGGTAGTAAACAATTCACACAACAGTAAGTTTAGATATTAACTTCTGAACGAGATATAAACAAGTATTCATAACACGGTTCAAATGAAAATCAGATTATACAAATGATGTCATTTGTATTTCTACCATTTAGTCGATTTTGATTGTATTCACTTACATATTTTTTAGGAGTTGGTTTTCAGAGTTTTTGTTGTGCGATTCCTTTTTCTTGAGCAATTTTGAAACGAAAACAAGTAGCACAGTACTTAAATTCATAACCTGTCTTGAGCCCCATTTCTCAGCTTTTGGAAAGTGAATATCTCAAGATGCCCTGGAGAATTAGGAATCTTTCATGCTCATTTTCTAGGACTACCATTTCAATTTGTAGACGGGAAAATATTAACACTTACCGCCTGGGCATCCTTGGAACTTTGGTAGCACGCTCGTGCAAGCTCCAATGCAGTATCCTTCCTCATAACTTTAGTGGTTATTTCAGCGCACATGAGGATTGAACGCTCATGTTGTCTGATCGAGTTAATGTACCCTGGCCACAGAGACAAATTGAATCGCGGGATGTCTTGCTGAAAAAGAGAGAAAATCAATGAGACTCATCTCATCCGTTCTCTATTTTACCTGAGTAACCGAGTCACACGTACTTTTCTTGGATTTCAACATTTTCAGACGTTACCCTATTATCTGAAAATTTGGGACCAATAAATAATTCGCTGACTTAACAACCTTCTACTTCAGATACTCATGGTAGCTAAAATCACTCTGCAATATTATCCTGAACAGCAGGAAACAGGGATAAAAAAATTGAATTTTATTGAGAACTAAACTATGATAATAAAATTTTAACACTCTAATGAGATAATGAGGACAAATTAAATATTTTTCAAACTTGCTGGCTGTGATACAAAATTGAAGGGCTCTCACATGAATTAGGATAATTGCCTAGAATTCCATGATGTTCCAGGACTAAAAGTGAAAGAATATTCTGTCAAATTTCAGACATATTGAGGAGTCACAATCATAGGCCACTTTCCAAATTAGATTGACGAGAAATGTAAGTGCGGATGGAAGAATTGTGCTCTTACCCGCGCTTCTTTGTCAAAATAGTTTCTTCCGATTAACTGGAGGTTCAAAGCTCCAAGGCACTTGCGGACAAGTACACCAAAGACCTGAAGATAGTGCGGGTCCGAGGGTTGAAGATCATTGGTAAACTGAATTGTAACCTGGAACTGTTGATCATCATAGTGACGCTTGGCAATGAATTCGATATTCTGTAACAGGAAAAAGCATAGTCATCACTTAAGTGCACATGTACTAGGGAACAGGAGAGACAGGAAAGTCCAGCTGCGACATGTGGTCATTTAAAATCTTCAAGAAAATGGTAGATAACATACTACTTAGGGCCAGAGGCTGTAAAGACTGACAATTGTATGGCGTCTGCCAACGGCTTAACAGTAGGATAGTATTTCTCAGCTTTATCAATCATAAATTTACAGCGTTTATGGAAAACTGAAAAATTGAAATTGCGCTTCACGTTAGTCAAAGCGGTCTCTAAGGCCTAAATTTATCATTCAAAACGATTTTAGAGCAAAAATAAAATTCAGAACTGAAAGGGTTAAAATATAAAATTAATTCACACAATGATGGAATTCTACATGCACAAAGGCCACTGAGAAGGGTTAGAACTAAAGCTCTCCTGCGTATGATTCCTCATCAAAATTTCACATAGAAAGCATTAAATACGCTGACCCAGTCCAAAATTAATTGGTGAACAAGGAATTGGTGCTGAAAAATTACATAAATAATATCCATGAATTAAAAATCTCCGCTACATTAATGTAGATCAAATCCACCAAAATTATCATTTCACAAATGACAAATGGTGAGTTTTACATTTCTCTCATGCTTTTGAAGCTTGGAATTTGTAAATTTGCGGAGAAAAATTTTATGCTGAAGTGCACTAAGATTAGTTTTATTTCGGACTATTCTGAGAAAAACTTGACTAGCCTTGAGAGTTTAGAACAATAGGGATTATCTTATCTTTAGTCTATTTGTTCACATCCAGATCAACAAGCACTGTGCCATTTAAATTGATGTGGACACAAAAAGAGAAGAACTTTTCTTCTTTGGCACTAATTCTTCAACATACACACATTAAAGCCACTCTCTTATGGATCAGTTGCTCTGAGAATTCTCAGGTCCTGGACATCAACAGTCAGGCGAGGGGACTTCGTTAGTGGTGAGGGAATGATATCCAAATGAATTGGCGTGTGTAGTTTACTGTAAGGTGTCTACAGCCTCATTTCAATGAATATTAATTAGCGCTTTACGCATAATGAACTGGAAATGAAACTTTTTTACATCAACTTCATTGCAATTTTTTAAATATATTAATCGATCCATTAACAAGAGTTTTGATTCCTAGCTGAAACTTATACCTCTACAATCATCAGTGAGAGTGGGATTCAGAGCATTTAACCCAGAACCAGACTGGAGAACTTCTTGCTTTTTATTACGTAGACGACACAAATGTTTTTCTAGATTTTATGTTTCAAAATTTGTTACATTTTCAGTCTCTCGGAAGAAATTCCCTGACAATTCCAAGTACCCCAGACTTACAGACATCCTGCCACTGATGCCGATTTTTTTCAAGTTTTGAGTTTATTTCTTTCAACATACTTCTAAGGGACAGGCGTAACTATGATAGTGGGGGAAAAATGGTGGTTTAGGGTTACTTTGATCTCAAAACTAGTCTTCACACCTCTTTCATAGCTGCATCTGACCATGAATTTAATATACCAAAAGACTCAGCACTTGAAAAACTTGGGGAAAAAAAGAAAAAAAGGAACATCATTGCTTTTGTTCCTAAGTCGATTTAACTGTGAGGAATAGCATAACAACAGCATAATAACCAAGACAAACTTGGTGGACGCATGAGCGTGCTGAAACTCAACTACTTGAGGGCATTTGCAAGTCATCAAAACAACCTCCCAGCAGATCAAACAGCCGCTGAGCCTGCGGGGGGTGATACTTGATGAGTAAAAAGATAAAAGGCCAGTCCAATAACTTAATAAATAAGAAGACCCAACATGAAAATGAGTGAAAGACGAACTACTATTGTCACTAACTCCACTCATCAAGCTCACAAGTTCAAAATGCCTTTCTCCTACAGATAATTCATTCTAGGCGCTTGATGAGTTTTTTTTTTTTTTTTTTGTTGAAATGAGACTGCGATTGCTATACATTCCAGATCCATCGAAGAGGTGATTTAAATAAAAAATTAATTTTCTGACTAAACAATTCAATTAGTCTGCTTGGAGTTAGTTGAGATTAAAGGACAAGAGGAAGAATCCTGAGTTCGGATTCCGAGCAGAGGTGCTTGTCCACAAGGTTTGAAAAGTGATTACTTACATCTTGGGGAAGTTTGACACTCAGAAACAGACTATTTCCATCAAATAGGAAACCACTTCCTTGAGTGAGCTCTCGTAGCTTGTCCCTTATCAGCTGCTTCTTGATAAATACACGGTCTTCATCACTAGGGTTGAAGCTAACATTATAGTGATAAAGACACCAATTGGTGACTGTTTTCAAAGGGAAGTAGTTTGCACATAAAGCTACCGGCGTACCTTGTGAACCTGCAAACAGGAAAATCAGCCTATGTACTGACATAAATTTGAAGGCATTATCTGATTGAGTGGATAACTAAGTGCTATAAAGCAGAGGAGGAGTAATTGTACAGGATGTTCCAGGCTGCCCATACCAGACTTTAACTTCCATTTTTGGGAGTAGGATGAGGTTGAGGACTGTGAAGATACATTCGGAATCAAACCGCAGGAATCCTTACTAAATTTGTAAAGCGAGGATCCTGCTTTGCCTTATTACAAAGAGCCCAGGGACCTTTGGCAGTACCAGCTTTCAATTCCTCCCAGTTGATCACTGAAGAGAATACTTTTTCTCACAGGCCTGTAGTTCGATTTTACCAACCTGACACTTCATGGAAGCGGGGGAGGGGGGTTTGGTCTTTCAACTCCAACAGTCAGTGTTACAGAGAGAGATACACCCAAGCCTCAGAACAATTACAGAGTTATCAACAAAACAATAATCAACCACTGTATCAGGAAGGACATTAAGGTCCCCTGAATCATCTAGTATTGCATGCCAACTAAGTTTCTTCCTTGTTCCTAATAACAAGATATTTACTACTATCTTCATTGAATACTATAAAGAGCTCATGCAATGATTGGTACGAAAGGATGGGAAAATTGTTTCCCTGATAAATTTAATGGGGCTATCCCCTTCCATTCTTGCTGCTTATGCTGAAAATGACTCGAGCTGAATTCCAAAGAAAGGGATATCTTCAACTTGAAAACCCACCCAGGGTGGCAAGACAAATTCTATTTCAAAATTCCCTGACCTTTGGTGATTATCGCAAACCATCAAATGAGACGCATTTTTTTGCGGAAAACAGGATTTGTTTGCTGGATGGTTTTAGTGTTTCGAAAAGGTTTTTTTGGTCAGTCATTGCAGTTGAGCATGAAATACAAATCTTGATCGGCTTCGATAAAAAGGAGGCAACCATTTCATAGTCATTGCAAATTAGAGTAAAATAATTGAATAAATTCAAAATTCAAAGCCAACTAAGTCTATTCCTGTGAAGGCTTTAATGCTACATGATGAAGGAAGAAAAGAAAAATGTTGAATTATTCCTTTTTTGTCGTTTAAAATAGAGAAGGAATTCAGGAACTCAGGAATCGTGGAAGTAAACATTGGTCTGAAAAGGAATTAATTCTCTTGAATAGGGAAAATTGCTAGGCGTATAGTGGGAGGAAAAATGGGACAGTTCATATCATTTATTGAATTGAAAAGGAACAGATTGAGTTAGAAGTTCAGATCAAAAAGTAATATTATCACTATGAGCAAAAATACATACTCAGAGAAGATTTGGTTTAGAACATGTTAGAGTACCTTTATAGACAGAGTATGGCCATTTCTGTTCCGGTTTTTCATTGGTCGCGTGAAAATAGGCTGACGCGATGTTCTTAGGGCCGTAAATAAACAAACAAGATGGCTGTTATCAGCAAGCAAGATTGAGGTTATGCACATCTTACATCCTCCTCTGATAAAGGTGGAAGGCGATTTAACAATGGTTTCATGTATTTTTCGTGTGCTATTCGTAGATATGCTAGTTTAAATTGTTACTACAGCATAATTGAAATGTTTGTGAAATTTAGCTTCTTATCGATGTTAAGGTGAGCCGCCATTTTGTTTGTTTATTTACGGCTGTGAGAGCATCATGAAGCCTAAAACTCGTTGACCAATCAAAAAGCGGAACAGTTTTCCTGTAGTAAAAAGATACGAATGGCCATACTCTGTCTATAAAGGTACTCTAGAACATGTTTCTTGGTTAAGGTTGTTGAGGTCCTTGTCGCGGATATTGTCGACGCTGCGCTGCGCGGGGCCGCGGCGGGAAGACGGGCGCGCTGAATCCGCGGTAACAAGCGGAATTGGACGGAAACGGCCGATCTTCTTCATCACACTGTCGCGGAATGATCGCGGCGTCGCTCATCACGGTATGCAATTGTTCATACGCGAAAATTCCCTCACCGGTCACGAGAATCCCTGACAATACCCTGACTTTTCCCGGTAGTTCAAAATTCCCTGACTTTTCCCTGATTTCCCGGTTTTCCCTCATGCTTGCTACCCTGCCACCTCTTACAGAAATCTTGCTTATCTGCAGCAGTGTTCGAAACTCACCTTTGAGTTTCAGGAGCCATGTGGCACATCAAGCTCGATTTTTAGGGGCCAAATTGACTTTAGGCCGATAAGCCACGGTCCGTTTAGTGAAAATTTAGACGCAAGATGTTTTAGTTACAAAACTAGTGACAGTAACTTGGGGGAAATTTCGAAAAATCACCAAACAGAAAAATTAGAATTGTTTTAGGAGGAGGGGCAATTTTAGGGGGGCCACGTTGGCGCACAGCCTTCTTTTTTTAGGCACCATGACCGATATTTTAGGCGCATGTGAGTTTTGAACACTGATCTGAAGGTACTGGAAAAACTAAAATCATTCTTCGCTTCAGCAGCAAATACATAGTAGGTAGGAGTATTGGAGTAGCTCTATTAGACACGTAGGAAAATTGTTTTCACTCATATCATTTCAAGAATAAGAGATGGGCTCAAAATAATGGTGCATGAGGGAAAGAAGGTATTTTTAGCAGTGTGTTCTTGAGAATTTGGATTCGAAAAATCAGAAAATGACATTGGTTTCCTCAAACGTGGATACAGTTTTTGAAAAACCAAGACATTACCTGGAAAAACCAGATCTTTAATGGAAAAATTCCCATTTTCCGGAACAAAAACTTGAAACAGAACAAATTTTGTCCAGAAAATCTGAGTACTTCATCAAAACCAGAGCTAAAAATTTAATTATTAAGACTTTTTAACTTGATTAGGACATAAAATGATTTGTTGACCAACATGGTGATCACAAAATCTCAAATCCTCTGCTTCTCCGGAGTTGGACTCAGAATTTATCCTGACTTCACGTGAGAATAAAAAAAAAGGATAGAATTCAACATTAAAACCATCATTCTAAGGAACTAAAATTTAAAATTGGTGGCAGTTTTTAGAATTTTTCAGTTGAAAGACCATGACATTTGGAGTTCAGGGTGACTCTTGGTATTTCGATACAAACTGAACTTTCAGTAGAGAATTCTTGTCTTGAGTATTTAGTCACTCATACTCTCACACTCATCTGCGCTGAACTGTCAAATTGGTCCTATAATAAAAGCTAGGGACACTTCCTTGTGAGGCTTCCATGGAACTTCAGATAACCACCCTTGGTTTCCACCCAATGTGGTTTTGACCACAATAATACCACCAGAGAAATTGTATGCATTTGTTTTGTTTTGACAACTAAACCAAGCATGTTTGGACGGAGCAGTTCTCACCTGTGAAATTGCAGGTCAGCATCTAGGTACCGTCAACAGAGGCACTCTGAATGTTTCTTCAGAAAAAAGGAAGATAAGAACTCGTGCATGCAATCTTCAAACATTATGATGTAGTGAATACATTTTGCTAGCTCCTTTCAATAGTTCTTGGTTTATTAGAGGCGCTGACAGGAAAATATTAGAAACTATGATAATAGTTATGACTTCATTGAATAGAGAGTCAGAAATATTTCAGGGCACCAAGTCCCACGCCTGCTGATAACTGTCACATTTCATGGACAGGCATGAAGGACAAGGCAACAAAGCAAGATATGAATGCTTGATACTCTGACACACTCATCAAGTAATACCATATTTGTATCCCCCGAAAAATACAGAGGAAGAGGGGGAGGGGGGATGGATGCCCTCAGCTCTCATAATCATCAATCTTTAGGACCACTTCCAACGTTTGAGCACTTCGCAACCTCACACTCCAGGAAAAGGAGAAAAAATGATTGGGAGGGCAGAATTGCAGGATATGGAGCAGTGGAGAAGAGAGTGGACATCCGAAGTTATCTCACATCGGACTTCCTTCATGATTTATGTTCACATCATTGGGCATCAACTAAGGAGACAAGGCAGGCAATGCACCCCTGATGGGGTTGCACTAGTATTTTCAGAAACGTACCTTGTTTTGTTGCCAAAGTCTTGTTTCTTGTTTGTAGAAGCTCAGCAGGGACGTAGCTTGAGTCTATTTGGCGACGCCCTCGCATAGCACCACGACCAATCGGGTTGCCGCCATTGCCATTACCTGTTGTTGAGCCGCTGGTTGCAGAACCTGGAAAAATATAGAGGATTCATAAAATAAAGCATCAGAGAAGAAAATATGAACTAATTGAAGTTGGAAAAACAAGAAAGTAAATAAATAATTCGAAAGTACAACTATGAACTAAGTGATACAATTCACAAATGGAACCGCAACATATAAAAAAAATGATTAAAGAGGTGAACGCGGCAATTCCTGTGGGAATTCGGATTACATTCACCCCCCCTATCCTTCATATATAGAAATTGTAAGTAGCCTATCTATCTTCTTGTACTTGTCGATTCTTCCAAATTCAATGGGTCTATAAAGTCATTAGTAAAAATTTTTTTCAGTCTCTAAAAAGTATTGAACTAAGTTGCTTGTAGGTCTAGATTCCCCAAAGTTTTGGACAACAGCAATCAGGAGAAAAATCCACTTGAGGATGCAAAAAATTAGGGTGGCTGAAAAAGCGATTAGAGTTCCATGCTTAGTGCTGTAAAATTTACTTGCCATGATCAATAAAGCAGCAGAATCCATTAAGGAAGAATGTACAGCAGAATTGCAATGTGATATTTATCACTTTGAGACAGTAAGTTAAGGCCCTGTGATTTCATCGAGTTCAGCTTTCAGCTAATTTACTTACTGGATTTCCCCATGGCCAAGATCCATGCCTTCAGAATGTTTTAATCGTCTTAAGTACAATTAGAACAGCGTTCAGGAGAAAAGACCAAGCCTAAGACAGTGTTTTTAAGATTGTGCAACTACCTTCTTCGGGAAAATGCCTTTGCATTTAAATACAACAGATTTGATTTTCCCTCTGGAAACTGTTAGTAGAGGGTCAAACCTGACACAATCCTGTAAGTTTCATTGTTGCACATGCATTATATTATCTTTACAGTATGACAGTTGTACAATTTTGAAATCACTGCAATGGACAATTCCTTCCTGCTCATCACTGTCGGTTGGTATGCTATTTTGACACCCCAAACTTCACCTATCCTCAAGTGAGATTTCAACGACGATTCATACAGAAGAGTCAAGGTACTTGATTGTGTACAGTTTTCCTACTTATATAATTTTCCCATTCCCCGACTTTACATCTCTTACTTGCACTGACTTTTATCCACTGACCTATCAACGAAACTTTCATTCAGATTTTTTACTTTAAATTACTGATTTTTTTCTGATCTTTGAACGGAATTTCCACTTCCAGACTTTTAGAGATTCAAATTATGGAAAAGGTCAATCGGAAAGTGTTTGCACTCTCTTGAATGCCAATGGATGAGGTTGATGAGCCAATGCGCTACTTATGAAAGTCTCTGTTGGGTACCTTGGTAGTTGTGGCCACCATTTTCCATTGAAGATGCAAGAATTTTAGGTTTGATAGTGGCAATGAATGAGATCGTTCAAACGTGTGTTACAAGACCATGCAAGATTGTTATTTCTCCACAGAAGATTTTTGCTCTGCACATCATTTTTTGGGAACCAAAAAATGTGGGAGACGACTCCTTGCAGCCCAAATTTTCCGGAGCTCAAAAGACCCAATGAATTAAACCTCTAAACAGCTGCAAATAGCTCGACTAGATAAAAGAGGCAAGATTTTGATTCGCACTGGTGTGGGGCATCACAACCAGCCATACTGTCTCCTTGATGCATAACAGTGAAACAGGGAAGATGAAACCCTGACACTTAGGAACTGAACAATTGTGAATTTTGATGTATTCCTTTTTTCGATTCTTGAAACAACTAGAAGTTTCAAGAATAGTTCAAAGGAAAAATACTCCTCATGAGACAATGACAACTTGACCAGAAAGTATGAGTTGTAATCTACAGGTAAGTAAACTTAGCAAATTTTTGCAATAATATAAGCAAAATTTCAAATGGAGAACCGAAGTAATAACAGAAGTCGGACGAGCTTGCAAAAATGTGCTTTCAATTTGAATTAGATGGCAGCCTCAGAATTTTCTCACTGATAGGCCTTGGTTTCCAAAAGCCATGCCAAACATGAGTCAAAATTTCTAGATCAGTTAATGGGTAGTGATATTTTTTTTTCCAAGTGGGGATTGAAAACTCCTGATATTCCCTCTTCGCCAACAAATTGAGGATTCGTGAACAGAGAAGGATTAAAAACTGCTGATATTCCCTCTTCGCCAACAAATTGAGGATTCGTGAGCAGAGAAGGTAAAGTATCCAAGCATATTTTTAGAAGAGAGACTTAAACACAGGAGTTGAGCCAACAGCAGTAGAGGAGCATGATAAAAGGAAGACTGGAATGTTTGTTTCAACTGAGATTGAGGAGACAGACCAATGCAAACCCTGTTTCCTCACCGATTACAGTGAGAGTTTATTTTCTTCCAATATTTAAATTTCAAAGTAATCATTAGCTTCAAAACATGATAAGGAAGTGAGCATGGATACTCGCTACTGACGTAGAACACTTCAAGATGAATCCTGGATAATGGGCCTGTTGCAATCTTTTGCTAGAGCAAAAATAAGAGTGGTTTCTTATAGATAATGCCTAAAAAATCACAATGAGCGCATCGGCAAAGTCTGAAATGCACTCATAACTTCACAGTCTGCGTAAGAAATTTGCGGTTTTTTGAGCTTCCTGTTACAAAAATGATACTACGGCACAGGTGAACATTTTGTAAGAGGAGTCGTTCTATTGTCAACAATACTCATCATGGCCAACGCCAATCCGCCAAAACACGTGTGATGGGACGAGATAACACCTGAACTGGATTAGACCAGAAAACAAACGGTGTGTTAACGTTCATATTTTCCACACCCGAATTGATTGACCTTGAACTCTCCTCGAATTACGCGCGGAACTGCGCGCAAGCGTCGGCCATGATGAATATCGCCGACGATGGAGCGACTCCTCTAACAAAATGTTCACCTGTGCCGTAGTATTGTTTTTGAAGCGGGAAGCTTAAAAAAATGCAAATTACTTTGCCGATGCGCTCATCGTGATTTTTGAGGCATTATCTATAAGAAACAACTCTTATTTTTGCTCTAGCAAGTTTGCAACAGGCTCATTGTGGGCTAGATTGCTACTAGGACTATATGACAGACATACCGCGAAACTCACGATGTTGCCAAAAATGAGTTCAAGATTTCGTTCCATTCTACAGTATAAAATATGCAGGCTGATGTTCCAAGTTTTGGCCAACTCTGCATGGGAGCGCTGTAGTGATGCTGATATTCATGAAGAAAATTGCAAATCTGACCTCAAATTAACAAAATTGGCAAAGTTTTTTCTTCATCTCGCAAAATTGTCAGCCAGCAGATAGGTGGTTTAGCTCCTCTGCCATCGTGTGCATTTTTTGGGTGTAGCTTTTTCCTCAGGACATTGTTATATAGGAATTATTTAATGGTCTATCTTTGAGGTGTAAACACTTAAACCATAGACCAAGAAAAGTAGACTTGGTGCTTGAAGACATTTCTGTTGTAGACCAACTTAGTCGATATACCCATGCCAGAAATAGCAGAAAAGAAGGAACAAGTAAGAGCTGAAAACTCACCAACACTTAGTTGGCCCATGCCACTTGTGATGCCTTGTGCAGCATCTTTTTCGACAGTTCTAGCGCCAGCTCGACCAGCTACTGTGGGCTGTAAAAGGATAAAAAAATAAAATATCAAGTGACAATATCAAGTATCAATGACAATATCAAGTAAAGGAGACAAATGTAGGGTGCACGGCTTTGTTTGAATTAATCATGAACTAACCTCTGGTGAGAATGTTTTGAGATCCTATTATGTGCTCATTACATAGAAATCGATTTAAGATGTTTCGCGAAACAGGATTTCAACACTTAATAACATACGGAACATATAAGTGGGGAAACTTTCAAACCACGTATTTCAACTTGCAACACAGCAGGCTTCCAGACATACTTAATGACTTATATAAAAGAAACTTATCAGTGGCAATTCTACAAAACGGTCGTAACTTATCTGTTTGAAGAAAGTTTTGTGAAAGTGTCAAAAAATTAAGTTGATTCATTCTTCTTTAAAAGATTAATTAGGAGCAGAGATTATCAAATATCGCAAATGAGATATGTGGTTCAGGAGTTTCCCCGTCCATACACATCAATTGACTTTCTGATAGGATTTAGTTTCTGCTTTTTAAAATAATGTTTCATTACTTGCCAAAACGATTCAAATAACTGATTGAAACATCTCATTTAACACAAAAGATAGGGGGCCAATGGTACTTCCATTGCTTCACCAGCACTTCCCTTCAACTACTTCGAGATGTCTACACCTTCTTCCTACAATGCAGAAACTTCCTGACTGTTGGACCCATCAGGAGAGCAGAAAGTTACAACATGCTGACCATATGTCTAACGGTTGCACATCCCATTTTCTTCACAACGTTGTATTTCAGATTGAGGCTAACGACCCGATTTCATGGTTGAATGACCAAATTACCTCAAAATTTGTGAAGTATAGAGTTTCAGGGGTGATCATTCTTAAAGGTTGCCTCACAACCCAAAATTTGCCTAACCTTTGCCACAATCCTCAGATTGCAAGATGAGCGTAATCAGCACTCCTGAGATTAGATCAATCGGAAGGGCCACAAAAATGGAGGGGCCCCTGGCACAGGTTGAAAAAACTGATTAATATCAAAATTGGGGAAGCACAAAAAGGAACCATGAGAATTGGACAGACACGTTAGATCGGCATGGAAATACAAGCACCATTTGTGAAGTGGCAGCTATTCATGTTCGGCAGAAAAAGAGGACACCACTTCGAAATTGTTGCAGAAAACAGGACACTTAAAAAGGAATGGCCAGTGTAAACTATGGGAAATCTCTGCATGTCTTGTGTCTTCACATTCTAGAACAGTTTACTCGTATAATATTCTTCCGTGTTCTCCTTCTCCCAGCCAAGATAAGAAAAATTACCTGAGGCGGGGCTGAACTTGGACCAGGACCGCTAGCAGGTGGTCCAGGTCGCCTTGGCTCCGTTCCTCTGCCTTGCGTTTGTGGAGGTGGCTTGCCCCGGGCAGTGGCCCGTGCCCGCCCTCTTCCAGCAGGTGCCTGTGGCTGCGACATTTTTCTGAAACTTACAGAGGCGAACTATTAATGATCATAAAAAAAAACTGAACAGGAACTATACCAAGCCCATCAATGTATGGTGGTGTTAGGCAAGCAGCAGTAAATCTCATGAGTAAAAACTGGTGAAATTTCCAGTGCACACAGTAGTATGAAATCAGCATATTCAACTTAACCAAGAAAAATGTTTTAAGTCGAGTTGATAGTAATACAAAATCGAAACATAGCTTTGGTTTTCGAAGCTTAGCACTTTGCCGCCCGTCAAACTGAAAGGATTCTTATCAAGATTTTCATGAAGAGCAACTCTTCCTTTAAAAACCGTGCATTTCATTATGTGTATAAGTGAAAAATTGAAGGAGTGAGGGCAATTTGAAAAAAAAAGTGACATCCGCTTTTTCCTTAATGCATGAAACAAGTCTCCAGGAGGGGTAAAGCTTGTGAAACGACTGAAATGAACCAAAAGTAAGTAAATGCTAAGTCAATAAATACAATTGAACAAATAACTAAATCATAGTTACCTCAAAGACAAAAATGAGGAGCAAATTACAAAATCAATTAAAAAATAAAGAATTCTGGCGAGCCAGTCTCGCTAAGTATCATTTGAGTGTCAGCTGCAGCCCATGGCCAGTGTGCAGGCAGTTATCGCAAGTGCGTTCAAATCTCCACAGTGTCCTGCCATTCCAGCAAGAGAGGATGGTGGAATTTTCATAACCGCTGTTTACACCAATGACACTGTTTACAGTTCATATAAACGCAGTTCGCCGAAAGAAATTGCGTTGGAAGTCTGAAACTTAGCACAAGCATTCTAGGAGGCTCCAGAATTGAGCGTTCTCCCTAAGAATTGCAGATCAGCAGCCGCTTTAGTTACGTATGGGTCCTCATGTGCATGAAATTATTACATTGGGATTCGGTAGGTATGATTTAAAACAAATTGGCTCGAAGAGGCTTCTGGATTACTAACCTAACCTGTCTTCATCGACAAGGTTAGAAATGGCATAGGCATGATTTAGAAGGAAATGCGACTTCTTAAAGGAACCGAAAAGGAATAGAATAGAATATAGACGGTACACATGGAAGGAGAACTGTGGGTACCTTCAGACATGAGTGATTGTCACTAAACCATCCCCTCCATGCGGTCATATATATTTATAAACAACAAAAGTAGGCCAACAACTGAGGCCTAAAGAGGTGGTGTGAAAGGTAATCGTGAAAAAAGTTGGCTCCAGCAACGAAAAATTAGCAAAATGCTACACGAAGTGAAATTTTACATCAAAGAGGACCAACATATGCAGTATCGGGCGGCTGGAGATTAATTTGAACCTTCTTCTGTCACGGATTCATCTCGTGGCAACGAAAGGCACGACACCGTAAGTACGTGGTGGCGTGGAAACTTCAAGCCCTGAGTGTCAAAACTTCTTAATAAGAGCAAGATTTGCAGGGTCAGAAAGTTCACGGAAAAATAAACAAAACAAATGAGGAGTGAGGGGAGAATTTGAGCGGGCCAAACTTTCCAGGCCTACGGAAATGAGGGCTCGAGGACAGAAGTGGTTTACGACCATGACACGGATCCTGCAAGATATACTTGATAAAGATGAGAGAAATTTGAACAATCAGCAATGTAGAAGATAACACTTACCAATTGAATAAGTAATTCCTAAATACTGTCCATTGACAAATTGAAATGAGAAAGAGCAACAACGTACAACGATCGTACAGTCTGCCGCGGGGAATGTGGAAAACGAACAATGAAAATGGCGCCCGTGCCCGCGTGCCGTGACGACAATCGACAATCCTCTCTTCACATCTGTTCTGCTAGCCAATGTTGCCGGTGTTCTATATAAATTGTTGCCATAATGGAATAAAGAATGACTTAATGTGGGTTTGGACTTTGGATTGGAAACAGAGAGGGAGAATTTCATGAAATTTATTCGTGTTAAATATCATGCGTGAAAATTTTGAGGATGCTTCTTTTTTTTTTTTTTTTTTTTTTTTTTTTTTTTTTTTTTGAGCTTCAAATAGCCCTCAAGGGCTAATCCCATTTAATTCAGGCCACCAACCCTACTTGCCCTAACCTATTTCATAATCTAAATTCCCTAGTCTAGGATGCCAAGAAACGCCTAGAAACAGTGATTCAAAATTTTGAAATTTTTTACCCCAAGCCTAAAACTTTCGCGCGTTGCAAATGTTTTCGTTTAGTTTAAGTAAAGGTTATTAGGTTGGGGCTATGAGGTTGGGGTTTTTCTCTCTTTTTACCCCCCCCCCCTTTGTGTCTGGCACCTTCAGTAGAGTAGCATATTACCGCAGCATCAACAGAAAGACCATCTGAAACGCTTTCAGACCTCCAAAGGTTTAATTAATAAATCTAAAAAAAATTAATTTTCAACTTTTGTGAAATTTATTTGAGCCTTATGAAATTTCACTTTCCATCTCTGATTGGAAGACATAACGCGTTTGCGGTGTCTGAAAATCTCCGCCTCTGTGTTATTTTTTTAAAGGAGAACACATTGTCATCATTCCTTGAAGTTTATGCAGAGTTTTCTTCGCAGAGAGAAGAAAAATCACGGCAGTTTTAAAGAATTGCCGCAAAGTAGTTTTCCGTTTAAAAAATAAAGTATGACAGGAAGTCGCAACCCGAGTTAGGTGATCGCCGACCTACACCGTCGATATGTGATTGCGGACTTACACTTACGCCGTCGATAACGTCTGTTTGGTTTAAAAACGCACATATTTATTTGGTTTTAAAACACTTCAGCTGTTAAAACTAGTAATAAAAAACCTTCAAACATCCCTCGTTAATTGTTTAATTGACGTTTACTAAAGAAATAAAAACAAAAAAAATATTAGCACAAGCGCCATGAGATCTCAGAACAGGATGTTACAAGCGCCAGAATGAACTCTTACTCCTCACGTATTATCCAAACCAGAGAGTGCTTCTAGACTAGTAGTTCTAGACATGTACTCAAGTCTTTGTTGTGTTAAGGACGAAGCCAAGATCGATTTCCTCCAGTTTACATTGGTCCTTCGGAAATTGTAGCATAATTCTTGGCGCTCATGATAATTTAGCCGGAAACAGGTGACCAATTTCAAAACCAATTCTCACGTGGCTCCATTTCAATTTTCAGATGTCGCCGCCATAACGGTGCCATTGTAAATTAATTGTGCTTTCTCGGTATTTAAAAAAAAAAAAAGCTGAAACAAATTTCTCTGACTGGAGACTAATTCGTACCTAGAGAGGTGACTTATTTGGCTCTTAATTTCGACGATAAAATACATCATTTTCCTCGGAAAACTGCCTCCGCTGGGAAAATACTACTGTGTAGGGAATTATCATTTCATATAGAGTAAGGTAGCATTTGAATGTTGCTGATGACCTACCTCGAGATTGGTTTGGCCTAACAAGTAGGGGACAGTTATTACATTAAATAAAAAACAATAGACATATACTTAGGTGCCTTATCTCCGGTAGTTACGAAAAAATACGGTCCACCCCCCGCCGGCCATGCTCGCAAGCAAAGGGACCAAACCTGTTCGATTAAGTCTTCCTTCGAACTTACAACAATGGACGACTTTAAAATATCTATCATAGATGATCCAAAGTAGTTATAGTCCGGCTATAGTGCTGACGCGGGTAGGGTCAGTGCAAGAATATATACAGGGTGATCCAGACCACCCGTCCACTATCTTTTTCTCGAAAACGGCGGAGAATTGAGCTTCGGGACAAAAACTTTCATGGGGTAAATCGACCCCAAGGAATCAAATGAAAATATTTTCAGCCCCCCAAAATGGCCCCTTGGGGGAGGTTTGGGGGGGGGGGAGACCCTCCGTTTCTCGCGATTTTTAAATGGGAAGGGTATGTTTTGAATTTGGATTCGGAATCTACGATAAAAAATTAGAACATTTCGTTCTTTGCACTTTTTCCCTGAGCCCCCATTTTTGGAGTTATGGGGCATTTGTGGGGCAATTTTCAATTCGAAGCTGTAAGCGGCCAAATCATCCAAATTTCAAAATCTAACAATCTCCTGAGAGGAGAGGTCAATACCTTTTTATTGATGTGCCACATGACCCCTGTTGCTCCAAAATTTTGGGGGGCACGACCCCCCAAAAATTGTGGGGCTTTGGAGGGCCGTAAGTCGAAAATGTCAAAAGGCAAGGGTAAGTTTTGAGTTCAGATTTGGATTCTACGCGAAAAGTTACGTAGAATTGCGAAGAAAAAGGTAAGGAACAATCCGTGCCAGGCTTACGGTATACCGAGGTCGCGGAGTCGCGGACAAGGGTGCCGCCTGACGCGGGGTTGAAAAGGTAAAAAGGTGCTAAAAGGAAAAGATAAAAAGATGGAAAAGTGAGACAGGCGCCAGGCTAATGAATAGAGATGGATATGAAGAGGAAACATGGCATGGCACCGTACTTTGTAAGGTATAGGTAGGAACACTACAGCTACTGAAGGAAAAAATAGGTTGGTTCGGGCAAAATTCTCTGCATTTTCGAGAAATCGTGACCCCGCGTTATCTCCCATGACACTCGCTCCCTTTTTTTCGGTCCGTTTTGGGGGTGCTTCTGGTAGCTACACGGTAGAGTACCTATATTGAGAGAGTATGGCCACTGGGCCCCATGGAGAGGCTTAGGACCCAAAAATGGCGGTGCTTTGTTTTGGTTTTTGTGGATGGGAGGGAGGTCATTGCCAACTTTTGACGGTTATCACCAACCGCACTTGCTGCCAACCTTACTACATCTAAGATAATTTTTCTCAAAAATTGCACACGATTAGTCTTAAAAATATGTAAAGATGTCGCAATAGTGCATTTGAGTAAATTTCTCGTTACGATCAGCAAAGAAAACTACATTTTGAGTCATTTTGCATTACATTGATTTATGGCGTCCGCCATTTTTGGGTCCTAAGGGCTCCATTTAGCCTAAGATGGCTTAGCCAATCAGAGGTGGTAACCCCAGTGGCCATACTCTCTCAATATAGGTACTCTACTACACGGATGCGGGGAAAGGAACAGACGTGACAAATAAACCGTGATGGAAAAGACGAAACCGAAATCCGATGGGCGCAGCACCGACGCGACGCATCAGGCGCAAGTGGACCTGCAGTTCGATTGTCGAATCGATTTCAAGGAGCCTTGATTCATGGATCCCTATCTAGCAAGTTATTTATCGACGCAATTCATTCGACAGGGTTGCCACAGAATTCAAAAAGTGAAATTGCCTGACATTTCCCTGACACATTTTATTTACTTATCCATCTATTTATCTATCTATTCATTTATTTATCTATCTATTTATCTATATATTTGTTCCATTCTCTTATATGTACAAAGATATACGGAGAACACACCTTAAAGACTCGGTTTCTACTTGACTGAAATAAGGGTCTGGATCCAATTACAATTTAAAAAGAACAAGAAACAAAAACAATAATACCAAACAATTGCTCATAAAAGAAGTATGAATGACTTTAAGATTAAAATATTTACGTGTGCCTACCTATGAGAACATAACGAAATAGAATGGGCCTGTTGCAAGGTGCGGGGATTTGCAAATTGATGCCTGATTCTTATGGCAAATTTCACGAAAAGAACGATGGCGCTACTAAAAAACCTTGAAATGACCTCTCAAACTCAAAAAAAAGCTGTTTTTGGAACCGACCCATTCAAAACGGTCGCTTTTCAACCGCCATACTTGTGATTGGTGGATTCTATGCTTGTGACTACTTGTGACGTGAAATGATATGACAGACCTGGTTTCTTCATCACTTACAATGTATTTTCCCGTAAGGAAATGACAGCCGCTTTTCAAATGCAAATATTGAGTCAATCTCTAATTTTTTGATCAAAATTGAAAGCAGAAATGGATTCCTCGTACGTTTAAATGGTTAGAACCTTCATTAGATAAATAAGAACCGACGGGATAAACCCTATTTTTAAGGAAGACTGTAGTCAATGGGCGATTGTTTACATCTGCTTAGTGATAACAGACATGGACATTAGCTCAATATTTGGTCATTTTCATGAGTTTTTACTTGTTTGTCACTATTTGAAGGTAAGTTTATTTTGTAAATCAATTGTCTAGTGTCTTAGGATCATGTTAAAAGCTGTAAAGGTATACTTTGTTACTTATTTATTCAGAGCACACTCCGGCAGTCCAACGCTCAAACCCTGGATGTTCTCTCAATGCGTGTAAATCATTCTTAACTCTTCAACAAACATCTCAATATCATTCAGAACGTTCCCACGTTTTATAAACTTATGTTATTTTAAAATCCTGTGTGTTTTAAATGTAACACTATACAGAAAAATTTATCGATAAAGTCTGGTAATCGAAGAAGGATCCTACGTCTACTTTCCTTGCCTCCAGCTAAAACATACCGGTCTCCTCATCTCATCAGTATTGTCAAAGGTAAGTTTTTTTTATCATCAATGATTGATACTATCATTTTGGTGTCTTCAGTGAAGCATTAAAGGGTGAAATAGTAAGATATAACAACTGACTCGCTACATCCAGGTTTGAGCGTTGGACTGCCGGAGTGTGTTCTGAATAAATAAGTAACAAAGTATACCTTTACAGCTTTTAACATGATCCTTAGACACTAGACAATTGATTTACAAAATAAACTTACCTTCAAATAGTGACAAACAAGTAAAAACTCATGAAAATGGCCAAATATTGAGCTAATGTCCATGTCTGTTATCACTAAGCAGATGTAAACAATCGCCCATTGACTACAGTCTTCCTTAAAAATAGGGTTTATCCCGTCGGTTCTTATTTATCAAATGAAGGTTTTAACCA